TCCCTCAGACAGACGCCGACCGCCGACCCAAGACGACTGCCCCTCTCAGACATTATTGAAAGATTGATGAAAGTTTGCGGCCGAGAAGTATCTTTGGCTTTTTCGTTTTCTAACTATCAAGTGAGCAGCCGTCCAAAAGGAAAAATTCCTGTCAAGATAAATGACTTGAGTTTCTTTTGCTGCGTATACGTTATATTTATACACATATACATATACATTCCTATGTATTTGTATCTGTGGAAAATTATTGCGGTGGGTGAATGCTTATAATGAATAATGAACGATTTTCCGCCCTTTTTTTCCTGGAGTTTTATTGTGGCCAAACAATAAAATGCCTCGGCCATTCAGTAAATTTGTTTGTGGGCTGACCACGAAGGAGAAGGAGATATCTTCGATATGGCTTCACACTTTGATTTGGCTGCTCCTTAACTTTGTTGGGGTTCCCATGTATGTATGTATTAATGGCTTTTATAATGCCTCCCCTACGAATTTGTATATATGTATGCGGGAAGCATATATTTTGGGTCATCTTGGTGGGTGTTTCTAGGCCAATTTAACTGTCAGCGACGCCTGCTCATTTGTCTGGCCCTTTGCTCGATTTACTGGAGGAGGCCCCACTCGTTTGATTGAGCGCTGCTCATAATTGATACATTCGGAATAAATCTGGTTGACCTATTTCCTTTTTTGCGATTGGGATATGTGCCTGACGAAGCGGTATTGAAATCGGGTTTCTCTGGCAAAATGCTTTATTGATCGATCTGTGGGCCATTGTACAAGTTTCTGGGATTTTATGGTGCGGACATAATGATAAATTTGCCCAGCAAGGGGGTTTTACAATTTCCAGGCCTGGGGAAACGTATTAAAAAAAAAAATAATATTTATGGGAAAAAATAAATATTATAAACTTATATAAATTTCCTATTTTAAAGGATTTCATAAACTAATCCCCATACCTTTTCCTAGAAAACCCTTCCCTTTTCGAATTTTAATTCCTTGTTATAAAATTGCGGTTTTATTCATATGTTTTAAAGATATTTATGAGCCTGGGGGCCCAACACATGCCCCGGCGACCTTTCCGCATACATGACGTCCAGGCGACTTCCGTTTCCGCTCTGACTGCGACATGGGAAAACTTTTAGCATTTATCGTATGAATTTCTGCTGCCAGCACTATGCTTTCTTTTATTTTATTTTTCTTTTATTCCAAAAGAAATAAATTCAAATGCCTGCATAGTCCTTTTGTTTTTACTTAACCCTTTTGCTTTCTTTAAACTTTGAGCCTGGCTCTTTCATTGGAATGCATTTGGCAAAAGACATTTTTCTTGTTTCTGTTAAAAGTTCTCATGTCTAAGCAAAGATATTTTCCAGGCATTTTGCTTTAAATTTATTACTTGTAATCCCTATAGATTTTCATATTAAATCTTAAAATGCAGCTAAGCTGCATAGAGCCCACAACAATTACGCTTTTAACTTGCAGCTGAGTGTGCAGTTTTGACATTTTAAGTAGGCATCGCATTGCCATGAATGGGCTGCCTGGAACAGCAGAGGAGCTTCTGTTGTTTGTTTTGTGATTTCCCTTGCTACTGTTGTTGTTGTTGGCCTTACAATTACGATCACACACAGTTGCTTAGTGTTCCTATTCCTATTCCTATAGCCATTATACCCCACCGCCCCCTGAGTTCGTGTACTCGTGCTGAAATAGAGCCATGCAATGACGACGACTCTCGGGCATAATAGGCAAACACAGTGCGGCTAAAAAGTATGCGAGCACTCACAGACTTTTGCTCTCTGGCTCTTGCTTTGTGCTCATGTTTGTGTTCCAGGCTGGGTAATTGCGGCAACGCCTTTTTTCTGGCACACTTGTGACATTTTGCAAGCGAATGCAGACGAAGTAAGTACACTGTGTTACAAAAACAATAATCAGTAGTGTGACGATGCAAGTGACAGATTGGTAAACAGAGTGACCTTGCAATATGCAAAACACTATGCATAGCTGTACTCCCAACTTGGAAAATTAATCGCAGTGGTTATATAACTCCATCGTTTTTATAAAAAAAAACTTTTATTATTACCCACAATACAAATCTTGTAAGATAAAAAAAAATCCAACAGGTCGGTGCCTCCATCAGATCCTTCTGTCACCGCCAGATGATGGTCCTTTTAGCCACTTGTTTTACCCCCACTTGGCTCTTTAGTAAGCAAACGGATGTAGACTCGCCTTTTGTGTATTTGTGTAAGCGGTCTGGTGCAATGTTCGCCTTTTTTTTGCTTTGTTTGTATTGTTAATTGTTGGCGCGTGCTTTCTATTCATTTGTTAGTTGGCTTAAAGTAATAAAATAATTAAATAATTATTATTATTTATTGTTAGTCAGCGTGCTGCTGCCTTCTGCCTTTTCTGTTTGTTGTTTGTGCTTGTGCGGCGGGCTAATTTTAAATTTATGATTTGTGGGCTTTGTTCACGCTCCTCTGCTGGCACATAAAATGTACACTATACTGTATACACTATATATTATATTTATTTAAGTACGCACACACACACACACACGTCCTGCAATTCTTCAAAGGCGGCTCTAGTGCGACTTTTGGACAGTTTTATGGCCAGCATCATTTCGTCTTTTGAGCTCCGTTTGTTGTTTTTTTCTACGCTCCAAACTCACCCCGTTCTCTGTCGCCTGGTGACTTATTGGCGTAAAAGTTTTAGAGCCGTTTGGCCGGCAGTAAAGCCGAAGGCCAGTCAGCCCAGTCAGCCAGCACAGCTCAGTTTCCCATGGCTTTCTGTATTGCACCCAAATGTCTGCAATAAAATATTTTACAGTCGTGCATCTTGCGAGGCGTTCAGATTTCAACATAAAACGAAAAGATATCAAAGGGAGATGAAGCTCTTTTTCTAAAAGCGATTGGAAATCCATTTGTCTGGGACTATTGGAAAGAAATATATACCAAACCTGGCTGACCGGGGGTGAAATGCAAAAACAATTGCACAGATTTATGTCTAACCAAAATGTGGTTAAAATAATCTTTATTATATAGAAATCTACATACTAAATACATTAAAACAATATAAATCATCTTTTGGTTGGCAGTAGTTCTATATATCCTTTTCTGTTTCGGCCATTGCTAGAAAATCTACAAAGATTACACGCTTTAAGGCGCCACTTTAAATATTCCGCATACGCCGTGTTGTTAATAAATTACCCAAATTATAGAAGCAAAGCCTTCAGGCGCAGTGGCCCCAAAAGCGAGCTGCCATCATGGCCGGGAAGAAGGCAAAAGCCTGGTTAAAACCAAGCCGTAGACCCACTAGCTGGCGACAGCTGACAGAGTGGAGGAGGAAGTGGGTGGCAGCCGAAGAAGAGGCTAGAGAAGTGGCTGCCGTTGACGGCGACGTCGGCATCTTAATAAATTTTCATGCGCAACACTTTGACGTTATTAATACGTTTGGGGCTTCGAGAGTCGAGAGAGTGCCACGCACGCACCTAAAACCGCTAACCAAATGACGGCGAATTTTGCTTAATTACAGGGCTTATCCACAGCAGACACCCAACGAATGAAGTTTGGGGTAAAAACAAGGCAAGTCCTTCGTTGGTTTGCTCGAAAAATTAATTTTAAAAGCCGGAACGCTTAAGATATTTCTGTACATTTATATGCTTAAAATTCGATTGCAATTTATCGGCGTGGCCTTAATTAAATACAAGGAAATTCCTTCCTGCCAGGAATGCTCATTGAAATGCGTAGAGACAAGTTTAACTAAATGTTAATGAAGTAGGGCCAAAAGCCACCGGGTTGCCGCTTCTAAGCACCTAATTCAGTGGCTAATTTCCTAGACATATTACGACAGGTTTCCGCCTGTCTGTGTCTGTCAGTTCCCAGTTCCCAGAAATTTCAATACAACGAAAAAAAAAAAAATGAACTCACTTTTCACCTTATCATGTCTAACTGCCAAATTGCCAACGGTTGCCAGGCCCACAGGATCTGAGGATACACTAGAGGGAATACATACTTGTAGAGGCTGGAATTTGAATTAAATTTAATTTAGTTAGGAAGCTAAATGTGTCTGATAGTTAATTTAGTATAAGTTGCTTAAGGAACAAGCTGATGATATATAATAAATAATTTTTGTTATTATTATTCCATTTTATTGCTAATAATTCAGTATTCCTAGCTTACTTTCATCAAATAATTGATAGATACTAAATATCTCTCAGTGCCTTTCTAAATTGACTTGGCACAGAGGCATTGATGAGACACCCCAGCCTCCCATCGATGTTAGCAAATAATCTTTGTGCTCTGGCATATTCTCACTGTCAACGGAATAATCAGCCAGGCGGGCGGCTGACATGTTAAGTCACTTTGTCGTCGGGACACACATCCTTCTAACCCCCCCACCCCCCAACCGAACCCTAATCACCCTGCACACTCCCCATTTGGCTGGCAAATTACACGTCTCGGATTTGAATGCTTCGGTTATTTCCCTCTGTTTCCTGGTGTTTTTGTTGTGTTTTGTCTTGTGGCATTAGTTTAAATTAATATCAGGACAAGGTATGGCGTATGGCAAAGCCACCCGCATGTACAATCTCATTGGGATCCTTGTCTTTTCCTCATTTTGGGGGCTTCACTTATTTGGCTTTTGGGTTAACTAAACGAGGGGTTGTGTGTATTGTGGCAATAACCTGAATTAAAATGTTTTCCCAGATAAACATTAATTGTTGACTAAACCAGGACAATTTGTGCAGCACCTGGGGCTGAGCTCTAAGCTTAGGGGAAAAAGATCCTTGATGGAAGGGAGGAGGAAAAGCTGCTGAAAAGGTAAACATGCTGATTAGTTAAGTTAAAGACTTGTGGATTTTTGTGGTGTCCAAGCTATCACTAACTTGTGGAGTTAGTAAATAAAAGAAAGTCTTGTGTGCAGAAAGAATGAATATTAATTAACATAAAACAGAAGTTTCTTTTATGAATATTAAGTTGGATTTAAAACAATTCTATCTGAGACAAAAGTAAATATTTCCTTGAGCACAATTTTAATTTCTTTAATATTAATTCTCACCTTTAACTTGAATTTCAAGTGAAAGCGTAAAAGGCTTATTAAAATAAACAAAGGCTGCTTGAAGCTCTATAAGCTCTTACAAAATCTATGAAGAGAACTCAAGCATCATCATCATAATCGCAGACGAACTCGTCCTGGAGGTAATCCCCAAGCGAGGCGGTTGGCTCCCCAAATCCCTGCTCGTCTCGCAGCCACTTGTCGTGGTCAATACCCTTAATTTCGCACACGACCTTGAAGATTAGCTCCTCCTTTTGGGCGTAGTAATTGGGTGAGTGGAAATTGGCGTCCAGTTGATGTGACTCCAGCTTGAGTCGCATCAGTTTCTCGTGTAGAATATGAAAGTCTTCGTCGGTCTGCTCCTCAGCCGTCTTCAGGGTGAGCAGGGCCAGGAATTCCGACAGGTGAGACTGCGGGAAAGAAGGTGTGAAAACTCAATGATAGCCAGGACATCAAGAGGCTCTAATCCACTCACCACATTCTCCTGGCTCAAAAGGTTCTCGTCGTGGGCAAACTCCACCGCAAATTTCAAGTCGTTCATGGTTTTGAGATTCATTTCCAAGGAGCGGTTGCGTCGGCGGCCTGAGGCAAACTGTCGTCGCTGTCGGATAGCTCGCCTTCGGGCTCGTCACCATTTATTGGCCTGCAATTTGTTTACATTATAGACGGTGTGGTGATTCGATTCGCCCCTTAGTCCCCACAATCCCCACCAGTCCAGCCCGCGGTTTGTTTATTTTCGTAGCCACTCATGGCTGTCGTTTAGACCCCGCCACTACTCTCAATATGTGGAAACTACAGCATTTGGACACGTAATCACACCGGAAAAGCTTACTCAGCCAGAGAGAGTGTGACAAAAGTCTAATCTTTAGTTTTTAGTTTAAAATAGAGTTAAGAGTTTAAGTTGCGGGTTTGTTAAATAATTTCTAAACAAATATTTAGCTTAGAAATTGACATAAAAGTAAAAAGAATTTAATTTTTAAGCAAGAAAGGAAGGTTAATTCAACAGTATGCATTTTTTTAATTTCTGAAAGATTATCAATCAAATTTCTTTATATTTGTACAAGAACGAAAGTTTATTTTTCACTCTCATAATATAAAAGTTATAAGATTTTTTATTAAAAATGATGAAATAGGAAAATGTAAATAAAATAAAAAAATATATTTAAGCTTTAAAGTAAATCGATATATGTGGATAAATACAATTTTAAACTCCATCCCCAGGCAGCTTCTCCAGAATGCAAACCGATATCCGTTTTGCCGCTTAAAAGTAAACTTTGCTTTGACTCAATTTCATGTCTGTTGATTATTCCGAGTATTTCGAAATTCATTTGTCAGAGCTCTCCGAGAGTGTAAACAAATAAAAGCGAAGCGCGTTTTAGCTATAAATCAAAACGAAATTGAACGCACATGAGGAATATGTTTATCCGATACAATTTTTTCGATTCCTGATTCTTTCAAATCGACCAACGACCCACGGAATGAATGCCAAACAAAAGCTGCCATCGGCGAGCATAAAAGTCATGCTGCTCCTGCTGCAGTGATAAAGTCAATAAAGCTGATATTCCGCCACGTGAAACACAAGCCAAGAAGTGTGTAAACAGAGTCAGAAAAATAAAAAGAAATAGCTCCGACTGGCGCTTAGACAAATAAACATGGATGGAGTGAGGTAGAATGCAGAGAGCAGAGGAAAAGCTGAAAAGTCGAAGGTTGCTGCCTCACTTCGCACTTTTCCCGTATATATTTTATGAAATTTTCCGTTTTGTTTATGTGACTTTTTCGGACACCCCTAAAAGCCGAGAGAGAAATCCTTGAAATTGACCCAGGAGACTCCGAAGCTTAGGGGCTATGCCGTCCTGCCGCAATGTTCATAACTTTTGGGAAAGCTTGGCAAATGCAAAGTAATAAAATTTAAGTGTCGAGTGTATGGGAAAACTATATTCCCAAATGGTATGAATTTAACGAGAATAAGTGGAATATTTTCCAGGCTATCTGAGAATGTCTATCAGAGATTTACTTAACTAATTTAATATATATGTTGGTATAAATTGAATTTGTTTCATAAATAGAATGAAGCGAAATGGATTTTGTTACTTCCGTAAATTCTGGGGGTAAAATAAATAATAAAAATAGTTTTTAATACAATAAGGCTAATAAAAACAAGAATTAAATTGAAAAAATTTTAAAATGTATTAATATTTCTAAAGGAAATATATGTTTACTTTTCTAGGATTATTTTAACTATAATAAATCTGACTTTACTTTTCTTTTCTTTAATTAAATTGAACTCAGAAGTGATTACAAAATATTCCCATTTAATTAAACCTTTTAAGACCAAATTACATTATCAAGTAACTGCAATTTCCCTTGCAGCCTAAACATTTAATTACAAATAATTATCACAAAGATCTCGCCAAAGTTAGATGCAGGAAATTCCAGTTAATTATGCAATTATATTTTGGTATATTTGCGTACAAGTTAAATTTGTGCCTGAGGCATCCGAAATTGACAGAAGCGAACTCAATTGGCTGCCACCAAAGGTTTGAGTCTTTGCCGTAGGGTGTCCTCCTGATGACGAGGGAGGAAATGAAATAAATCAAGGCTCATTAAGGGCCTTGAGGTAAACACGAACGCAGACTTCGCACACACACACCTAGGGACACATGTTATTTGTGTTTCCATGTGCGATTTTGGGTTATTTCAGGACCCCCAAAAACAAAGTTGACAGTTGATGTCAACTTAATCATCGTCAAGGCATCACATATTCGCCTTAGGACTAGCGGCGGCGCCTGCAGGAGTGAAATTTCAACTCCTTTTTCTGGCGATAACAGGACATATTGCCAGCTCATTACGTCTGCGAGGCGAGTGTGGGAGTGTCTAACAGACAAGTTCTTCGTTCATCAGCCCTGCACTTATTCTGCGCCTTTGTCTCAGCTCTAATAATGGCAATATTACACAAGTAATTAGTCACGCATTTAATTATTATTTATGGCCTTTCTCCCAGTGTGTATGTCGCCTTCGTCGACGTCGTCGTCTCCTATCTGGCTCGGCAACTCGAAATTATCCTTCGGGTGGCGTGTGTGCGTGTGCCTAACAATTATTACATGTAATTATCCACTTGAATGCTTGTCCTGAATCATCAGTAAATTTATATGACACATCGAGATAAAAGTTGTGGCGGAGGTCTGTTTCGGATTGGCAAGCTATTAGCATATGCGTGATTGCGTAAGTAAATTATGCCACAACGGACAAATCTAATCTGCTTAGCATTATAATATACGTAGCCGAGAGTTAATGTCTTTAGTAAAGTAGGTACAGACACGATTAGGGATTCCAACTATTTTTAGCTTGACAACTCACTCAGATTTGGGTTTGATTTGGTAAGAATTTAAATTAATGACTGTAACTTTAACACAATTAAAAATTTCATTTAAAATTATATATTCCTCCGTAGCAAACAATGCTAACTAGTTTCTTATTACAAACTTAAATTATAGAGTAAAGAATTTACCCTTACTAACAATTGGTTAGTTAGTAAGAAATGTGAACCAATTAATACCAAACCAATCAAGAAAAATTCCATGCAGCAGCTGCTATAGTCAATGGGGTTAAAGTTCAATCACGTACTTCACTCCTGACCAAATCTCAAGATGTTGGATAGCCCGGGGCCGAAACTTTCATCGATTAAAAACTTTTCCGGGTTGCCCAAGTATTATCAGCTAGCTGGCCTCCGGAAAACTTGTTGTGACCGACAGCTGCCGGAATGGAAAAATGAGATTTGTTTGTTGCCTCTAATAATTGGAAGGCGGAGATTGGTAGATTGAAATGGCAAAAATCGAAATCCCAGGCCAGGGGAATAATACAACAGATTGCCAGAAAGACGAGTCGCTGAATTTCGCCCTGGCACGTCTCTCCTGTCAGCTGTTTATTGAGGCGTGATGTAATTAGTATAACACACCGACAAGGAAACAGGAAAAAAATAAACCAAGAAAGGGCAGAGCCCCAGCAAAGACCCCGGCTTAGACGCAATTTGCGTAATGCTAAAACTTTTAATCACTCATACGCTCCATGGCGCCACAGAGAAAAAGGCGAGGCGAAGGCGCAAAAAATAAATTTTACGTCAGAGAAAATAGTCAACAAAGCGTTTTGGGGGCGAAATGAAATAAGTGTAAATACGACAAAAATTCACTTGCACACACACACACCACGAATATACGCACACACTCTGGACCACCCAAATGCTCACTCAAATATGTATGTATGCGCATCTGATTAAACACAAGTGTGTGTGTTCCTTATATGACTTTCATCCCCAGCAGAGAAATGCATTCCCCTAGGGTTTCGTCAAAAAAAAAAAAAATATATAAAAAATTATATATATATTCATCTGCTTTGCCTTAAGCTCGAGTTTAATTCCTGCTTTGACTTTTGCAATGAGCACTCAAAATGCCGAGTAAAGTGGTGGCTCGAAAAATGCTACATTAAGATTTATTACTTAACATATATATTTATTTTTTTTTAAGATAAATTTATTTAGAGAAATTTTAAATTTCTACTTAATTCTTTTATATATTTTTTGTTTAAATTAGAATAAATATTAATAAAATAATGTAAGAAATATTTGCTCTTAAGACTTAAAGAGACACCTGTTAGTATATTTTTCTGAAATTTTATAAGTATTTTTAAAAAATGTATTTATTAAACAAAGTACAAATATTTTTGAAAATATTTTAAAATTTGTAAAAGACTTCTCTGTAATTTTAAAGACTTCACTGTATGGTTTTATTAACTTGTTTTCCTGCTCACAGGGTATTAGAGGGATATTAGAACTTGCATTTTTAATTGAATATTTAATTTCTTTATTTCTTTAGATACTTTTAAATAGGAATACCATATACAAAGAATACATAAATATTATATTACCTATCCTTACTGACAAAGAATTTAAAATTCTCTTTGGCTTCCTGAAAATCTATTTTAATTTCAGATTGCTAGAAAATTAACTTTAATTATTCAGTTTAAGAACTACTACTTTTTAATTGATTAAAAAAATCTTTTGTTAGTGCGAAAAAGGGTATTTAAAGATTCAGCAAGCCGCAGCCTGACTTTGCGTCTTTTCTTGTGGTTTTTTCTTCTCCGGTTCTTCAGTTCTTCAGATTACAATGTAAGCTGCGGCGCGTTTAAGTGCGCCTGTGTGTGTGTGTGTGTGTGTGTTTTGATGCTTGCGGGTGGTGGTGGTGTTGGGCGGTCTGCGTGTGTGTTTGCGTGCCGACCTATTTGCTTAAACACACTCTAACTGGCACTCTCAGCCCACTTGGCCACGCCCTCGGAGAATGGCGCCCCTGCCTTCCGCCCCCGGGTCCCGGCTCCTCTGTCCTCATAACACATTAGCGAAAGTGAAAGTGAAAGCCGCCATAATGACTGCCTCCAGTTGGTTTTCACTTGCTCCTCATGTCTGGGTCGCTCCGCCTGCATGCCCATACATTCATATTAGTTCTCAGAGAGAAGCCAAAAGCGAGAGAAATGCAAATTGGCCAGATGGAGAATGATGGGGAGTATAACGGGAAGCTTAGTTCTTGGTTCTCGCTTCTCAGTTTTTCAGTTTTTTAGATCGTGGTTTTAAGTATTTTATTCTCAGTTTTAAGGCAATAGATTTTACTTCCCAATATTCGTTGTCTATTTTTAATTCTCGGTTATTGGCTCTTCGATATTTACTAAATTTATTTATGTTTTCTAGATTTGTTTCTTAAGATTTGTTTTTGAAAAGAGTTGTCTAGTAAAAAAAGTAATAAAATCCATTTCTATTAAATTTTAAAGGATATAATATCCTTCCACCAAAGTACTAAAAATAATAAAACAAGCTCCTAACATCACTTTCCCTGCCGGATGTTTTTCCCCCGTGAGAATCCGCCACAAACCACCAAGAATGTGTCATAAAATCGAAAGAAACTCCAGTTAGCAACCGCGAGCAAAATATGCTTACCAAAAAGTGTCAAGTGGTGAGTCTTCTAACCGCCTTCCTGGTGTTTGATGGCCGAAAACTTGTAAGCAAGTTGCAAAAAACAAAAATAATAATACAATTTTGAAATGTCACTCAAACATAACGGAGTATTCATGGGCAACTACTTTTGCTACCATTTCAACTTTGTAAATCTTATTTTCTGTCGTAGTTCTGTCAATGCTTTCATGATCTTTTTCTTCCCATATTATTTTCTTTTTGCTGTAAAAGAAAAGTTGGTAGAGGGAGAGAAGTCAAACTTTTATTAGTTTTCCGGCAGAACGTTAACCGTATTAAAAAGCACTCGGCGACATTAGTGGGAGAGGAGAATATATAGATGAAGCCAAGTGTGTCCTCTGATAATCGGAAATCGGAGCCAGACCAACAACAACAACAACAACAACAACAACAACAACAACAACAACAACAACAACAACAACAAAAACAACCACAATAGGATGGAAATTGAAAAACTGTAGCACACTTATTTCGGGGCTCCAAGTGCCCCGAACTTCTTCAAAAACGCATAAAAAATCAATGGCAAAGCGAAAGCAAGATGTGCGCAATAAATGTCAGCTACAAACGAAAACTTCACATGTTTTTTTTTTTTTTTTTTACTGAGTCTCGACTTCCTGTGCCAGGACTTCCGTTTTAAGTGTGCATGTGTGTGTGTGTCTGCATGTGTGACTGTGTCAATTTGTAGAGCATACTTATGTGCGCTGCGGCTGAGGGAAGCGCCTGGCCCCCAACACACAAATTGAAATCCGCCATAAATTGGCGAGACGAGCGGAGGAGACTGACTGAAAAGAAATAAAGCAAAGTCGAGTCGAGCCGGGCTGATGACAATTTATTGTTCACACTTGCAACTGATGATGGTGCTTAGGGGACTATGCGAAAACAAACGTGTGTGTGGGACTCACACGTGTATTGTGTGTGCAAGTGCGAGTGTGTGTTCCGTTTGCCAAAGAATATTTCATTGTCTGGCCGTGCCCAAAAGTAGGCTCTACAAATTGCCAGCCATTATTTTGCTTCTATGCCAATACTCGCAAGCGCCATATATTTTCAATATGTATGTACATATATATCTATATATAGAATTGTAATTTAGGGATGTGAAGGTTTCTAGACAATTTAGAAAGCCAGCTTATGCCGATAGTTATAAGAGGAATATCTATACTATACAAAAAACTGCAACATCTTTGATTCTTTTATAAAGTTATTGCTAAAGATAATTTTTAAATGTCAAATACAGTTATGTTCACGCTTTAATTAAACTCCCAAACACTTAAAATATATAGTGTATATTATTAATTATTTAGTATAAAAGTTTTAGAGCTCTTGAAAAAGATATATTCCTTTAGTAACAATTACCCTATATACCAGAGGTATTTTCCCAAAAGGAAGCCCATCAATTGTCACAAGTCGTTAAAGCGTAGCCAGGTTCCACCGGAAGTGCCGGAAACCTCGAAGGAATTTGAAAAACAAAAGCTTGACGCGCTCGAAAGTAAGCAAAAGTGACTCAAGAAACCATCTCTTTTCGCCATTTATTTCCTTGTATATTACATGCACGCGTATCGAGATGTAAATTCATTTTATTTGCCTTATTCTTTTGAAAGTACGTACAGGTGGTGTGCAGGTAATTTTCAATTGAGCGCCCTGTGCTTCTGGCAGGCGATGATTTAAATGCTTGGCAAGTTTTTCCGACGTGTTCCAGTATGCGTTGGCCTACTCTCTTTTCACACAACTTTTGTGGAGAACTAAAACTTTTCCTAGGCCCCAAAAGAAAGTTCGAACCAAAATACCACACACAATAAGTGGAAATAAGTGGAAACTTTTGTGGGTCTTAAATTATGCCTTAAATCATATGATTAAAGGTGATTTCTTCCGGGGCATAAGGGAAACCTATAGCATAGCTGGACAGCGGCGAAGATGACTCATTGCGGCTCGTTTAACACATTTAAATTCATGCCAAAACAGCAGAAATCCACTTGCCATGGCCGTTCCTGGAATTTATGAGTTGTTTCGCTGGCCGTTTCTGTGTGCCGCTATTACGGCTACTAAGTCTTGGCTAATAGCGGCTTTAAAATTTATAGAGTTTTTCGACTGGCAGCGACGGCTTAGCAGCGAAGTGATTGCCCCTGCCAGCCTCAGACCAAGTCCCCTTAATATTTATTCCGCTTTGCTCGCTTTCCTCGGAGCATGATGATGATATCTTGAATAAGACAACAGTAATACGATACTTTTTTGGGACACGAAACCTTTTCAGAGAAGACTGATGGGCTGGGGTCACCAATTAGAGGCTTAAAACAAGAAATAACTCAGCGAATTGGAGGCGCTTTTATGGATTATAATTTGCTCTAAGGGAAATATTTCAAAATTTTTGAAGTATGTTTGTTATTAGTTAATGTTTTGTGACTTAAAAGGTAGCTTTAGTTATTAAAGTTATATGTAAATATTATTAAAATACTGTTAAGATCTTAGACTTCTGTCTGTCAAAGGAATCTCTAGCTCATCAATCAATAAAAATATATCCCAAAAAACCCTGAAAGAGTATCCACTCTTTGGCTAGTTTAAAAATCATAGAAAGCAGGCCGCCTTTGTTATTTAAGGCGTGGGGCTTTTGGCTTGCCTTTTGACATATTATGCCATAATTCTTGCGGCAAAACGTTTAGTTGAGCTACATAAATAATAAATATATACAGGCACAAGCGCCAGCTACATATATCCTGACATATTTGGGAGGTGGGGAAAAAAGGCTGGAGGAACCTTTTTCGGGACGTGTATCTTTTCTATGCTCTCCTGGTTAGGGCCGTGATTTACAGGACACGCTCGAGCTGTTAGAAGGGCCTTTTAATTTGCATTTTGCTCAACTCTGGTCGTGCAGCAAAATTGTTTTCGCTAAGATTTAGCATAAAATATTGAAAACATTTTACGCAAAATAATAGGACTTGTGTAAAATTTATTTTAATTGTTTCGTCTACATTTTCTATTTATCTATTTCTCGATTTCTGTTCGCATCGATATGCAAATTTTGGTGACAAGTCCGAGGGACTGCGAGTAAATCGAAAAAGTTTTGATCTCCAAGTAAAAACTAATAGTCGTAAATATTTATGTGTGTAGGGGGGCTCACAAATGTGCTCGAAAGGCTCAGTGAGTCTTAGCTGCAATTGAAAGGACCAGGATCAGAATCGTCTCATTCTCTATTTTGGAGAACGAAAAACCGATTTTTATCAAATTCCCACTTTGGATTTAGGCAGCAGCCGGAAAGTCTCTCTTTTCCTTGCATTGCTAATGAAATTAAATTGAAACTTTGCTGGCAAAGTCACAAATTTGCGACTGAGTTGGCAGAGTAAGCAAATAGGACTTAAATCAATGGCTTTCATTAACGCAGGGATTCGCAAAGTTTAGAGTCTGGGGTCTGGGTGGCGAGAAAATGAGTTTCCTTTGGGTTAGTTTGGAGCAAAAGAAAATGGATTAATGCCAGACATTTTTGTGTGGCAGCCATAAATAATAAAGTTTATAAATAATGCAAGAGTTTAGTTTGATTTCCCCAAAGCACTTGCTTTAAAATTGGTTAACAAAATATAACAAAATTATTTAAAAAATATATTTTTTTGTTGTTCCAAAAAAATATGGCTCACATATAAGACAGAGGCATAATATTATATATAACTATAGGTATATTTTTAGTTTAAAAAGATAATCCCAGAAATATTTAGAGTTTAGAAAACCAAAACATATTCCAAACTAATTCCCTAATTCTTTTCTTAATGATTAAAAAGAATTTTAAAAGCAATTTCAATGTAAAATCTTAAATTTAAATAAATATTAAACTCCTGTCGAAAGTGCATTCCGTCGAAGCTGCATCCTCATGTTAAATTCAATAATATCAGCAGAGTTTCCCAGATAAGTTGGAACAACTGTCCGCAGCTAATAGCCGCTGGCCATTTTGGGAAATAACATACGCTCCACTTTGCCTCCACTGACTGGCCATTATGCGCATTCGACGCCTTTGGATGAGCAGGAGATGTAGCAGGAGCCAAAGGAGAAGCTGTCTGCGAAAACTGGGGCCATTAATCTCTCCTGGCCACATAGAAATCCATGTAAGCGAGACGTTTGCCAAGAGCCTCAAGCGGTGCACTTTCAACCTCAACACGCTGCCCCGAATGCCATACAATATATGTACGTTGGATTCCAAGCAGGCTGTCCTGGTGGTGGTAATCTTGGGCCATCTCGGCCGAGTCCATTTAGCAGAGATTCCGCAGGCCGCAGGCTGCAGGCCCGTTTGCTTTGGCCACAGCAAAGCACAACTTCAATGGGCCAGAGCTTGGGCCTCAGAAATGTCCTGGTGCCGCCACTGGCCACTGGCAAAATGATACGCCGCTTAAACAAATATATATATGTATATATCCAAAGAGAAAAACAAGATTCAAAATAGAAGGAAAATCCTCTCGGGACATGCTTCCGCACAAGAATGTTGGGGCCAACAGCCGCCCACGGACGCCTTTTGATATGCAAAATAAAAATTGTGAACAGCGATTTTAATAAATATTCCCCACACAGTCACTCACCGCAGATAGACAACTAGACCCGAGTCCTAGAGTCCTCCTCGAGGACATTGATACAGAGGACTGCTTATTGAATTTTTCAAAGCCTTTTTTTTTTTGGTTTTCTGTCGTCCTGCGAATCCCCGAGGCGGAATGTGTTTAAAGTGCTTTAAGCCAAATGATTTTAAAGGACTTTGGTTACGTCCTTGTGAAGGTGTTGGTTTGGGAGTCAAAGGGGTGTACTGGCTGGATTTAAGAAGAAAGGTTCTAAGGCGATTTTCCTAATTCTATAACAACAAATTTAAAGCTGTTTTAAGAGCCTATGTTAAAAGGGTTTGTCTTGAAAGAAATCTTATTTTAAATTAAGATATTATTTCTCCAATAACTATTTATATTACTTTTTAAACTTTTAAATTGATTTGCATTTAAATATTAATAAATAAAAGAAAACCTACTTAAAATTCCCTTAAAATAAATATATTTCTTCAAGCAAATCTTTAGTTATTTAAGCCTAATTTTTTCTTATTCTTGAAAAGCATTCCCTTAGATTTCCTTTTTGGCTACTATCTGGACCCTTTTCGCAGATACCCAATAAAATAAACAAAGTCATCGACACCTATTTATTAACAGAGTCCGCTGCACCTTTTTGTATCTCCATTATTACCGGGAAAATCAAGTCACCGTCAAATCAGCTTATACATTTTACCCTCGAGGCTTGAAAGGTAAATTCGTCTCGAAAGTCATTAAGTCGACAAAGAGGCCTGAATTAATTTTTTGTCGCCCCGAAAAAAAGAAAAGCCGATTTTTCGTCTGCCTCAGATCGATTTCAGGACAATCAACGCCTTCTTTTTTTTTTTTTGTATTTTCGGTTTAAGTTGACTGAAAGGTTTTTATTTGTTTCGTTATGAGTCCTCTCAGTCTCTCTCAGGTAAAGGCAATAATTTGCTTTTTGCCTGCCGTTGATATTAATGGCGAATAAAAATATAGCTCGTTGAAAACAAAGCATGAAGTTTATGGATGAAAGTTGGTAAAAAACACCACAGGATGATGGCCATCAACCGCAGCCATTGGGTTAACCAACCAAACCAAGCCATTAAGCTGCCTTCGCGGCACTAACAAAAAATGAAATAAAAAACAAAAATTGAAGGGAAAGAAGTAAATAAAAAGCAAACAAACAGCGCCCGATCGTTAAATCAAAAAGCCGCATGCGAGTGCCTGCAACATCATTAGTTGCAGTTCACACACACTCAAGTGCAAGTTATGCCCACATCCCCAAGCCCAGGACACTCGTCCTGCCGAATCTCCTCCTCTCGCCAGTCACGGCACTCTCTCGCCCGTATGCGCCGCTTTTTTGCGAGGTGTCCAAATTAAATTTGCATCAGTTGCTCCACGAGCATCTAAATGATGCCAAAACTGAAAGTGTATCTGTGTGAGAGTGCAGTTGCTGCTGCACAAGGATAAAAAAAGGATATGGCAAAGGGAACGAGGAAGTGAGAGAGCGCGGGCTAGCACTCACTTTGGCATTTCGCATCTAGTTTTATTTTCCGCCAGTATTTTTCATGTTTAGACTACTTTTGCCATAAAAGCGTAGAGTTCTTTTCCTGCATTTTTTACAGTGATTATTGGTTGGGAAAACTATAAATTTGAATGGTTTTTATTTGCTTATTAAAAATTAATGTTTCGAATTATTGCTTTAATTATTTAGTTAGTTTTTAAAATTTAAGAAAAATTTATAAAATAATTCATTCAAAGAATATCCAAGATTCAAATTTCTTCTGATTATATATAAAATTATTTTGTTTTTTATTGTTTCTCTACACGGCATACAGGACTTTTAGCTAGTTTAATTATTGATTAAAAGTTTAACAGATTATTTTTTAGTTTTATGTTATGATAATTTCAAGGTTATTATTATTATTTCTGTTAAAATAGACAGCACATATTACCCAAACCCACTGTAAAACGTACATCTCCATGTGGCTAGTTGCTCTCCCTGCGCTCTTCCGCATCCTCCTGCATATGTGGGCATAAGTGCGGGGGGTGGGCACTTAAATAATTTAGATTTTTGTGTCTAACATGCACAAGTGCCACCCCAATGGCCTAAAAGATTCAAGTGCAGCCGGCAAAAGTGAGTGACCCAGTTAGGGATTGAAGGCAGTCGACAGGCAGTGACAGGAGGAATATGGACGTGAACGTGGACGAGAGGAGGTGTGTGTGTGTGTGTGTGTGACTGTGGGTTGGTTATGCCAGGAGTTATGGGGCTTTGCTACCTTTCCTACCTGGCCATTATCAGCAAGCGAGTCGCGACTAGCGACCCCGCCATTATGCGCTCATTAAAATGTCAAATAAATTCAAATGCAAAAAAAAAATCATGATTTTTCGCTTTACACCCTGAGGGTGTAAGGGTACATGTCCTGTGCGCTTGCAGTTATGCTGGAAATGAAGATAGTCCACGGTGCAGTGCATATTCTACACCTGCAACTGTGTTGCTGAGTGATTTATAATTTATACGCGTTTGTCGGCGTGAACTTTGAACCTTGTTGAGCCGAGCACGTTTCTGGTTTGGCAATGAGAATACTAGAACTGTATGATGTCTGAATATGAAAAATGTTAAAAGAACGAACGCAGTATCTTCATAGTTAAATCGAGTTATAAATGGGAGAAGAAATAAAAGTTAATAGCTTGAGGGGAGGCAATAACTTAATTTAAAAGTTTTATTTTTAAGAATAAAACATTGATAGATACGCAGACGAGGTAAAAGTGGATTTAAAGCTAAGACTAAATAATGAATTAATTTTCAGGAAAGAAGAAGGATATAGATTAAATATTTAAAGATTGAGTTAGGATGGAAATATTTCTTTAAAAACTTGCAATACATTTTCAGGATTAGCCTACAGTTATGAGGCTTACTTTAAACCTACAGAATATATATATTTAATCATAAGAAGGAACCTGTTTTTCATTTATTTATTATTTATTTATTATTATATTTTATTTATTTCCCCCCCTCATTACATCCCCTTAAATCTTCTTTGCCGCAATTACTTCCTTCGCTTTGACTCTTCCTGCCTCTTTATTACTAAATACTCTCTTCCTGAACTCATCATCAGCAGGAATAAATGAGTTTTATATTGCTGCAACTTCCATCAAATGGCTAAGGGTTCCTTTCTGGCTCTCTGATGACTCTGCATCCTGGTTTATGGCTTATGGTATGTGTGCCAGGGCCATGGCTACTTGAGTCATTAAAAACCACTCATTTATTTTAATTAAAAACTATTTCCATTGTTTAGCAGAGCCTGAAGACTTGAAATGCACCACGGAAATCGTTCAAATCGTTCGGATATATGATGTATATATATATAATTACTATGAGCATTTTTACCATTGTTTTGTTTTATTGTTTTTGTTTTCCATTCTTGCCATTTGTCCTTCGCTTTGTCGTCCTGTTCTGCTCCTGCAGCTAGCTTTCATCCTAACGAGCCGTAAAATGCCATGTCATCGTGCATTTTTGAAATAAATTCAAGTGTGCAGTCCCACTTACACATATATACATATATATATATATATATGTAGTACGTATACGTACGGAACTAATACAGATCTGGGTCTGGACTAGGAAAGCTAGAAGCATTTGGTACCGAGCGTTGAGTGGCATTTAATTAATTTGCTCGCTTTTGACATATTCCTTTCAGTTTGCAGGATAGAGAAGGTCCTTCTAGGTTTTTCTCCTTTTTTTTTGGTTCCAACTATCCACAGGACCAGCTGGATATAAAGTCTTTTTGCGGTTTTAAAACTGTTTCGGGTTTTCTTTCAATTTCGACCAAAGGTTATTCGCAAAATTGATAAAGAGTGTAGATGTAAAACTTCAATCGGGAAGTACTTTAAGAAAAGGCTTAAAGACCTTTAAAAAAAAAATAGATATATATTATAAATATTTAAACTGACTCTTCCAATTGTATATTTAACCTCAAAAGAAAATAAAAAGTGTAAAACAAATATATATACCTTATGTCCTGTAAATGATGATTTTTCTAACAATTTTTCCCCTCTTTTTCCGCTTTTTACAGCTCACATCGTGGATGGCAGGAACAACCTGTTGCCCATAATTTCCGCGCCACCGAGCATGGATAATGATTACGTTTACATTGCCTCTGTCAACAGCAAGGTGCCGCAGTTCGGCAATGGCCTGGACGATGACCAGGAGGCCGAAGAGCAGCCACAGGACGAGACCACCTATCCGCCGCCAGTCTTTGACTTTGGGATGCCGAGAAACATCACCGCCAGGACAGGACACACGGCGGCCATCAACTGTCGCGTGGAGAATCTGGGAGACAAATCGGTGAGAGTTACGAGTCAAGTGATTGCATTTACCGGCTTATCATTGAATTGATTTCGTTTTTTTTCTTTCGCATTTTTTAATGCATTTTTAAAGAAAAATATTTGGATCGTCAGTCAAGCTGAAAATCAAGTTAGCGGCAACTTTTCTCCCCTTTGCAATGCAGAGAGAAACTTGTAGAATGTTCCCCCTTGCTGGGGTTTTAAGCCACCCTCGTTTTGCCGGTTCAATGACAAAGTTTCCTTTCTGACCCGCTCAGAGTTTTCTTTATGAGCTTGGCTGTGTTTATTCAGTTTCTTGTATTTTTCTTTGAGGAATTTTTAAGTCGTTTTTGAAGAAGTTTTCGAGGGTATAAAGGGTGAAGAGTTCTATATTTTAATTTTATTCATCCATTTTTAACATTTATGCATAGTAAGTGTTTTATTGAAAGAAAAATGACAGATATTTGATGTGAATTATCATTAATCATCAATTTTAGTTATATTATTTCTTATCCTTTCATTTTCTAATTTAAATGATAATTATTCCGTGTGGAAGGACTGCCTGGTGCCTTCGTCCGTGTCGCAGTTCACCATCATTCGCAATCATCATCCATCTCTCCGGTGAATGGAGCGCAGTCTGATCCAGATTTACTATCGCGCACCCAGCAGATTCATCTATTTACCACGCGGTGTGGTCTGTCTGCGTCTTCGCCTGCGACTCCCTTGGAGGCACTGCCTCCATTCACCACTTTGACACTTTTAGTTTCGTTTATATTGTGGCTCTTTTTCCCCTTCATTTTTTTTTGGGGCTCCGAAAACTTTTTGTTTGGCCCCGCGGCCGTCTGGGAGATTACTTTTTGCCTGCTGCAGTGGCTCTGGAATTTTCTTCGGGCGGGTAAAAGGGGATGCTCTTCTGGCAACTTTAAGCCGCTGACATTTTGGGCACGCACTTGTCTCCATTTTTCTTCCCTTGCTCCTGGCTTTTGCCTGCCTCCAAAGAATCGACTTTGTATTACTCCCCCGTTAAGCAGAATTTACTTACACGAAAACTAAGGAATGTTAGGGAGTTGGTCAAGAAGTTAAGAGCTTAAGAAATTAAGATATCCTAGTGCCACAAGAATGTAACCGAATTCCAGAGGATTTACTTCAAGACCAAGGGAATTTTTAAGTAAACTTTAGGCGTAAGGAAATTTCAGTTTAAAAATATATTTGTTTTATTCAATTTATTAGTTATTAGCTTAGTAAACTAAACCTGAGTAGAAGGAGAGTATTTGTATTTTTAAGAAGTTATTCAAAAGAGCTTTGTAGCGAGGTCCTACTGTCTCTGCTGTAGCTTCATCAGGTTTAAGACTTTGCCTGCTTAGTTCATTTTGCCGCTTGGTTTATTAAATTTTCGTATCTATACTTTTTTTTGGGCTCCTTAGAAGAGAGGTACTGAGCAGTCAGTCGAGTGGCAGGGCCAGAGGCAATTTTGGAAAATTGACTTAAGCACTGGCACTAACAGCATTTTGTGTCCTTTCTTTCTCGTTCTTCTTTTATTTTTTGCTGTTCTTCTAACATTTTTTGATTCCATTGCAGGTGTCCTGGATAAGAAAACGCGATTTGCACATTCTGACTGCAGGCATTTTGACCTACACATCTGATGAGCGTTTCAAGGTGCGTATACGTAACATAATCTGGGCCAAAATTAGGACGCTAGGTGGTTGGGTAGGAGGAGGAGGAGGAGGAGGAGGAGGAGGAGGAGAAGGTAACTTATTAAATGTCCAACGGGCTTGTAAGCCAAGTCAGCTTAATTGCGTATGCAATTCGGGCCAGGCAACTTGTATGCATTGATTAAATTTCCCAAGGACTCCTCCGTAAACCCCAGCAACGATTTATCTTGGCATCCTGTCTCATCCACCCACTCTATCTCTGTCTCCCTCTCTCTCTCTCTTTGGGCAGGTGGTACGGACCGCCGACTCCAAGGATTGGACATTGCATGTGAAATATGCCCAGCCACGTGACAGCGGCATCTACGAATGCCAAGTGAATACGGAGCCAAAGATTTCGATGGCATTCCGCCTGAATGTCATAGGTGAGTAAGGCTGGCATCCCTGCAGCTGCCAACCCAATCTACATTCCATTCCCCTCCAGCTTTCATTTTCCTTCTCCTACCCTCGCCTTGGAGCAGGTGCATACGCATTGTCAGCGAGTTGCTGGCATTCGCACGACCTGCAATGGCAACTTTTTATACACTCTACATTTCTCTCTCCTCTCCTCGGCGAAGAAGGGCTTTTGTAAATTGGCCGTAAAGTTTGTTAGTTTCTGAGGACAAAGATCCTGTGAGCCAAGAGTTTTTCCTGGCTTTATATGGCAATGCTTGGCCATGCTTCATAATGGTTTATCCCCGTCAGCCAAGCCAAGAGTGGAACATCAAGTCAGAAGTGATTTGCTGCTGGTTAGGGAAAAAAGATTCTTCAACGTAATGGCTTGAAAACAGTTTTAAAATGTTTCTGTTAACCTGAATATATAACTTACTTTGAACACAAAGCTTACAGAAGGATCTTAATAGCAAATACCGTAGTTTTTTCCCTAGTTTAATCCACCTTAGGATAGCCCCTTTAAGGGAAAATCAACACACAAATAAATTAATCAAATATTCCGGTTCACGCTTTAAAGGTGAAATGAAAACAGAGTCGAGTTTGCCGGGTCAGAATATACCAGGGGTTATGTAACAACTGTTGGCACCTGCCAGCGGCAGCAAACACCCTCCTACCTTTAGCCCCAATTGTCTATTTTTCTACACGCTTTGCATGCAAACGCAATTTGCATTTAAATTCAATACTAAATTCATATGCTGGCTGTTGTAATACACACCCGAGAAGGAGCTGCGTTGTTCCCCTTTTGCCTCATTGTCCTGCCATTTGGCAAGTTTTCTACAATGGATTTCCGTTTGCGATCCAAGTCGGTCCGTGGCACACAGGATACCCTCGATTTCTCTGTGTTTGTTTGTGGCTCTGTGTTGTTATAAATTGCTCCACAAAGCATACACGTTCATGTTTCATTCATGTACGTAAAATTGATTTGAAACTTTTTCGCCGCGCCCAGGCAGCGAAGCGAGCAAGTAAGTATTCCATGGCCGGAGATATCCTCATCCCGCCGGGGACTTTTTCGCAGTTAGTTTCCTCGTTTGTCGACGTCGTCGTCGTCATTGGAGGAGTAGAAGGATGAGAATGAGGAGTATAAGGAGGAAAGTTTTGTTTGTCCAGCAGGAAAGTTAATTGAAATAATCGAGAGGAGTTTTCTGCTTTGGTCGTGATTGGTTTAGTTTCTGCCGGATTTCCGTTCAATGTTTTCCTGTAATGTTCTCTGAGTTACGAGCAATAATCTACACGAAGAGAAAAATCTTACCAAAAAAAGTTAAAGTATTTATAGTATCGGCATCTTCCCACTCGCTCTTTACTCGCTCATCTAAAATTCTCTTTAATAAATCAATCAAGTTTTTTAAAAGTGTACACAATAATACCCCTAAGAAACTTTTTCAATTGATTTCGAAGCCACAACAACATATTCCATTTGATTACTCAAAATGTAACCTTTTATATATGGTAATCTTATATAGAAATAAATTGTTCTGCCAAGTGCATTTAATTAAATTAACCCAAAACTATGAACTGAATTGTTTGCTGGTAAGCTCGTCTTAAACTGGATCGCATCCGGCGCTGATAAAAGATTGGCGCTCGAAATTGCCTGCCACCGGCAAGCTGCATGCCGCCAGTTTATAACGAACTCAAGTCAAAGAGTGTAAATCTCATCAAGAGCCATGTAGTTGCATCAGAGCTCCAGCTTCCACGAAAGCAATGAACGGTGGGAAAACATCCTGCTCGCCCGGGAACTGCACTGCGGATGTGCGCGAGGTAATCCGCCTCCTCCTCCTCGCTCCCTTAGGGAAGACTGGGAGTGAAGTGAAGCTGAGCGGCGACAGGAAGCCGACAGCCATGCTATTCGCCGGGAAAAGGCACAGGGGCGAAGTCGCTGCCAAGTTAAGAAATTTATGCTAATGATTTGCAGCGACAGAAACGCTCGTCTGTGATGAAATCGTGATAAAAATATTTACGCCGTCGTCACGCGAATCACGTGAAGCGCCAAAGGAAATATTTCCCACTGATTTATGCCGTGGAGAATCGAGAAAATTTATTCTCATGAAATGCGTGGGCAAATGTTCAAGCAAGCCACTGGTTGAATTTTGGGAGGACTTTGGCTGTTTTTAATTCTCAGAAGCAGACACATCTGGGCGAGGAGGAGTGTTCTATGAAAAAGTTGGAAAAGTTGGTTCTTAGAATTCAAAAGATTGTCAAAACATGTGTCACAATTTTTTTTGTTAACTTAGGAAAAAGATATACATAATAAAAGAAATCTCTTTATTTAAATACTTTTAAAAGGGCTTTAAATTTTTTAATAAAGTTTCAGAAATATTTGAGATTTAAACAAAAAATATTGTAGTAAATGTCAGGTAATTATGGTTATGGTTTTTTTATGAAAAGGTTTGTGGTTAGCTTGGGTAGCTTTTATATAAGAAAGCTTAAAGAATATATTTTTTATATAAAGTATTTCCTTTTTCTTATATGTAGTTTCTTTTTTAAGAATTAAATTCAAATTTTCTATTTATTTTCTCTTCAACTTAAACACCCTTTTTGCCCCACCTCTGGTGGAATATAAACTTGAACAAGAAAGGAAGCTAACTTCGGCACGCCGAAGTTTGTATACCCTTGCAGATTGGTTTTCATATTTATGTCATAAATTATAATGCCGAAAACAGACACTAAACTGAGTTACATACCATTTTACCTATACTTATTATGTTTACAGTTTGACAGTTACAGTTATACATTCCCAGCTTTACATTTTCTCTACATCTGCGGATCGCTTCTATGGCTGCTATATGATATAGTTGTCCGACTTTCATAAAATGTATACCAAAATTCTATAATACTAAGTAAAGCTCATATCTCAGAGTAGATGAAAATACGTTGAAAAACAACGAAGTTATAATTTTTTTGATTAATTTCCCGATCGTTCCTATGGCAGCTATAAGATATAGTGGTCCGATTTTCATAAAATTTTTACCAAAATTCTGGAATAATATAAAAAGGCTATATCTCAAAAATGATGGAATAATATTGAAAAACAGCCAAGTTAAAATTTTTTTTCTAAAAATTTATCGAACATTTGTATGGCAGCTATATGATATAGTCGTCCGATCCGGCCCGTTCCGACATATATAGCAGTGAGAGTATATAGAAGACTATATGCAAAGTTTCATTTAGATAGCTTTAAAACTGAGGGACTAGTTTGCGTAGAAACGGACAGACGGACAGACGGACGGACAGACGGACAGACGGACATGGCTAGATCGACTCGGCTGTTGATGCTGATCAAGAATATATATACTTTATAGGGTCGGAAACGTCTCCTTCACAGCGTTGCAAACTTCTGACTGAAATTATAATACCCTGCAAGGGTATAACAACGATGGGATTTACCTTCAACTGCCATCGACCCTTGTATAAAATACTGTGAACACATTCATATGTCTGCTCCGAATTTCCAATCTCAGTGCTTGTGAAAGTCAATGGCATTTAAGACGCAATCTATTGGGGGCGTCAATGGGTTCCACTAATGCCAAGTTAACTAACTAACCGAATTGCTCTTTCGCTCTCCTCGCCACTCACCACATATCCACTGCAGTTGTTTGTTGTTTGCGAGCAGCGCTCAAATCCGCCTTTATGCTCCACTGCTGCCCCGCTCCGTAACCCATGGAGTCCTGTGGATTCAGGACTCAGGACTATGGACTATGTGAAGTCCTGGCTGTCTGCTCTGCTCTGCTCAGCTTGGCTGGGCTCGGTACGGCTGGGCTTTACCCCGCACATCATTAACAACGTCAACATTTGACTTTGTTGACTGCCTGCTGTGTTGGCCAAAATGGTTGGTCGACGCACGGAAAAAACATTAAACCAATTTTCAGTGCCTATAACGGGAAAGTGGTACGCAGAGAGAAAAATTTTGGACAGATTTAAAGTCTTTAGACAAAAATATAATGGTTGTGAGGATATTTTTACTTGTAAGCTATGTTTGCTGTTTTTATATTACATCTTTTGGTAGCTAGATATTAAAAGCCTTTTAGACACATTAGTTTGAAAATATATTTATATTGGGAATATAATTTATTAAAATAATATAGAAAATATTATATTAAAACAAATAAATGGTGAATATAATTTATTAAAATAACATAATAGTCAATATAAAGATGTAGGTAAATATATATAGGAATTAATTATTGAAAAACATTTACAAATAACTAAAATATAATTTCCCTAAACCCAATTTTTATTTAATTAAAAAAACAACCAAAATATTTATATATTTAGTTAATTTTCATGGCACCTTTTTTGATTTATGTAATTTATTTTTAAATGTACCCAAATTGTTTCCCGTGTACTGGTATGGAAAGGCTGGTCCTTCATCCTCCACACATTTGTCTCTGTCTGCGGCAGCTGGCGGCGGTGGCGGTGGACGGGCAGCAGCTTATCCTGTGCTCCCAAAAGAGCCAGCGCCAATATTAGAAAAGCCACACGTACACACATCTGCGTAATACGGATACGTACTATAGTATATATACGTATATGGAGAGACGGCCGGACGGACGGATAGGGGAGCAACATTTAATGGCACGTCCGCATCCGAGGGGGGCGGGCCAGTGGTCCTAATATCAACGGCCCACCGGCTGCTCCTGCTTGCTGGGTCACAATAACAACCGGCTAACAACACTTAAAATGTGTGTAAAATGCGAGACCACCAGCCAAAACCAACGCTTCATCGACAAACAATGGGTCAATGATATGGCAGGCATTGCGATGGTCAGGGCAAGTTTCACCCAAAAGCCAAACCAAACGCTAAGCCAAGGCCATCAAAGAACCCAACAAATTTTTATGTGTTAGTTTTTATACCCTTGCAGGGTATTATAATTTCAGTCAGAAGTTTGCAACGCAGTGAAGGAGACGTTTCCGACCCTATAAAGTATATATATTCTTGATCAGCATCAACAGCCGAGTCGATCTAGCCATGTCCGTCTGTCCGTCTGTCTGTCTGTCCGTCTGTCCGTCTGTCTGTCTGTCCGTCTGTCCGTCTGTCTGTCTGTCTGTTTCTACGCAAACTAGTCCCTCAGTTTTAAAGCTATCTGAATGAAACTTTGCATATAGTCTTCTATATGCTCTCACTGCTATATATGTCGGAACGGGCCGGATCGGACGACTATATCATATAGCTGCCATACAAATGTTTGATAAATTTTTAGAAAAAAAGTATAACTTGGCTGTTTTTCAATATTTTTGCATCATTTTTGAGATATAGCCATTTTATATTATTCCAGAATTTTGGTAAAAATTTTATGAAAATCGGACGACTATATGATATAGCTGCCATAGGAACGATCGAGAAATTAATAGAAATAAAATTATAGCTTCGTTGTTTTTCAACGCATTTTTATTTACTCTGAGATATACGTTTTTTTTATTATTCTAGAATTTTGGTATAAATTTCATAAAAATCGGACAACTATATCTTATAGCTGCCATAGAAGCGATCGGTAAATGTATAAAATATATAAAGCTGAGAATGTAAAACTGTAACTGTCAAACTGTAAACATAATAAGTATAGGTAAAATGTAATGAAACTCTGTTTTGTGAGTGTTTTCAGCATTTAAATCTATAAAATAAACATCAAAACCAATCTGCAAGGGTATACAAACTTCGGCGTGCCGAAGTTAGCTTCCTTTCTTGTTTCATTTAATTTTTGGGTAACGATTTTTTATACAACAAGTCAGCCAGCAGCCAGAAGGAAGCGTTTCCTTGTGGTTATGGCTTTCGTATAAAAAAAATAAAATAAGTGGAGGCAGCTCAGCTGCCCCATAAAGGTTTCCTGTCGTAAGAAACTATTAAAATTTGTTGTTCATCCCCCGAAATATGAATCGACAATATTGGATTTTTTTATGCCGGCAATGTAAAATTAAAATTTTATATGATTTTTGCTACGAGTGGAGAGTAAGCTTTGTCATTTTTCGTTTATGGAAAGACTAAGGAAAAAGTAGAACAGATACTTAAAAATTGAGATTAATTTGCAGCTGTTTCTCTGGGGGTAATTTTTATACAGAGTGGGTGGACTCCTATCTACCACTTAGCTTCATGTTAAATCCAGGCTCTGTAAAAGCTAAAGCCTTGCAGGGGACAGCTTTTACCATAGACAAGCACACAGCTGCTCATTACCTGGCGAAACAGGCTTGTGTATAAATAGGTCCAAGCAGTTATACCTTAAAGGTATTCCACCACAAACACAAGCACCCTGGCTGCCCATTTCAGAGAGGTTTCGAATTGTTGTTCCTGCTGGGAAATCGCCTGCAATTTCAGCCAGACAAACCAATCCTTGTGCACCCCCAACACACATGCCATACCTTACCACCCATTCCTCCAATCAGTTGAAAACCCATTGAAATCTGCATGATTAGATGCAGTCCCCTTCCCCACCACCCAACCACCCATCATGCACCCAACCAACCAAGCCCTTAATTGGGTACTGGGTTGGAGCTGGAGCACCTCGATATGCTATTAATCAATTTTCACCCCTTACGCCCCGGCTCCGCGTTCAGTCACGCCGCCAGATGCCAAGGCGATTATTGCCGGCCCGGCGGATTTGTACGTCAAAGTGGGCAGCAGCGTCACACTCACATGCCTGGTGAAGCAGCCGGGTACAACGGCCCAGGATATTGGGCCAATTTACTGGTATCGCGGCCCATACATTCTCACGCCGTTTGTCGCTCATCCGAATGATGCGGTAATCGATTTGCAGCGCATCTCCATGGAGTCCACGCTGGCCGAGAAGCTTCAAAGCAGGTGAGCATTATACACTGGGGAATAGGTGACATAAATCAAATGGAAAATGTAGGAATTGGCACAGCGGATTATAAAGTGTAAACAAAATAATTTAATGGAATATTTTATAATAGATGGATTTAATATGATAGAAATTGTTAAGAATATGAGAAATTAATTAGAGTTGGGCTGAAATTGGAAACAACACTTTGTAATTAGGTAAGCCATAATGTCCTTTTTTAAAATCATAGCTTCCAATCTTGTTTAAAAAATTAAGAGATATTTATTGGAAAGGTTAAAGAAAGTAAACAGCAAATGAAATCAATATTTTAAAATAAATATTAAGCTCTTTTTTTTGAATTTTGGAGTAGTCTTTGATGAAATAAGTTCCTAGAAATACTTATACCAAAATTACCTTAAAAGGTTTCCAAGTGTAGAAGAGCAAACATATTCACCCGCTTTCTGCCCCAGTTAGAGGCATTCCTTGGCCATAAGTTCGTACGGAATGCGAAAGGGGGATTTTTAAGTGCCAGCAGGTGCGAGCTTTTCCGGATGCTTCCTGCCCGGTATTCCGGGCTTTGATCGATGAAGTTGAATAGGAGAATAGCAGAATACCAGGATCCAAGCTGAGGCTGTGGGTCGGGACCTGATTCGCTGGCTGTGAAGGGGCCAAATTGACGCAATTAAGCTGCACGTTTGCCTTAAGCTTTGCCTCATGCCTTGGTTTCCATGTTTTCCCAGATTACGCATCGCCAACGCTCAGCTGCTGGACACGGGCAACTATACGTGCATGCCGACCACAGCGGAGGCGGCCAGCGTGGTGGTCAATGTCATCAATGGTAAGACTTAACTAGCCCGTGATTTCCCATTTGCATTCTCATTTCGTTTTCGATTTCCATTCCGTATCATTGTGCAGATGAGAGTCCCGCAGCGATGCAGAAGAGCGGAGCCAGTGGTTGCTCCATACGAAGCAGCGGGAGTTGCCAGGTTCTGTTGCTGCTCCTGGCCATGGTTGTCAGCTCCGTGGTGCGATGGCTTATTGCTGGCAGCACCAGCAGCAGCAGCGACAGCGATAGCACCTCGAATTTATCCACTCTGCATATCAATTATAGCCACCTGCATTCGGAGATCAGCGAAGAGCAGCGGGCACTGAGGTCAGCTTGCTTCGCATCATGATAATTAAGTGCTGTCCACTTTTAAGCATCCTGTATATAAAATGAATTCATAGTTAAGCGTAAACAACACTTGTGTAAATCCGAAGGAAAACGATGAGGAAACCATTCAACTGTCCGCCTTTGTTACATGAAGTTTTGTTTGTTTTCAAATTAATTATTAAAGGTATTTTAATATCAACATAAATGTATAGAAACTTTAAATTTACTCTCCGTCACTTCCCCCCTGTAAATGGTTTCCCATCAGCTAAACAATAAACTAAACTATAACTAAATTTAGTGCTAATTTATTTATTACGCATAGCGTAAATAATTCTGTTACCATTAAAAATAAAAGGTAATGCCCGACAACAAGTAATTATCGAAATGTTAAGGCAAATGTGTGAAAATAACGATAAAAACCAAATAAAGAATGCAAATAAAAAAAAAGAAAACGCAATTACCAATAAAAATACACAACTATAATGGTATTTTTAATTTCAGCATGCAAATATTTTTATTCGGTTATTTTCTGTTAATGCAATTAGCTAATTATATTTGTATCTGTCACAAAAACCAATTGAAATGGCATTTAAAAATTCCTTGAATTATTTCATTACTTCATTTAAGTTTAGCTATAAGTGATGAAATATCACCAATTTGTAACCATAATATAAATATAAACACATACATATATCGAAATTCTCAATGAGAAACAATAAAATGTATTTTGTTTGAAATAAAACTATAATTTAAAACACCTTTACTGTACTCTCATCCTGCGCTCTTTTTCTACATATATATTGATTTTCAGGCAAAGCGTTTATATTTTAATTAAATTTTTCTGCCACCAGAGTTTTGTAATTACATACGCTGGCCCTGATGTTCCGTAACGCCCTTTGTTTTAATCATCACATCGTTAAATGTTCGATAAAGTGCGTGGGCCTAAATTAATTTCGATTAATTCATGCCTTGACATGAAACACGAAAAGCAAAGTCTAATCAACACGGCGTATACTTAATTTCGAACTCTGACCTCACCTGCTTCAGTTCACACAGCCACTTAAAAAAAAACTACCAACTGGTGTCGGTGGCAAAGGGTTTTGGCCCCGGTCACGTTGGTCAACAGTCCATACGTTACGCTTTCTAATTTGACCGAGACCCGGCGGCACATGGGGCGTATACGCGATTCGGCGGCACACGGGGCGTATGCGCGATTATCAGCTACATGGGCAGCGCGTGTGAGGCCGCATAATTACGCGCAGTTGAGTCGCCTAAATGAAATCATAAATTATCCACACACGCTCTCCGGTCCTTGGCTTAATTGTGTGCAAATATTTTACAGACGAACGCAATTTGCACTGATTGATACATGTTTGTTTTTAGTTAAATTTAAAAGAAGATCCACAAACGCAATTTAATGCTAATTCGGAATAGAAATTATTTTAATAAAGCAGCCACTCGATTGGAAGGGGAATTAGGAAAAACAAAAGCAATCTTCCAAACGCTTTTCAACATTTAATTAGCTCTCCAAAGTATGCAACTTACCTTCCATTAGCAAAGGCAATGTTTCGCTGAGCTATTTTCTGGGGAGAATGAAATTTAAAACGAAAGCCAAATAAAGTTTGCAGTTAATTTCGCCTGGCAGTACCGTGAGCGGCTGCAATTAAAATTTGAAAATAGTTTCATGGCAAAGTTGCATTCCACCTCCTCGGTCCTGTCGTCGTTGTCATATTTTGTAAAACTGTCGAGGTAACTCGGGTAAATAAATTGAACCATTAGCACGGAAAGCCAAAAAGTTTACCAGCTCCAGTCATATCTTGTTGCTGTTGTAGTTATTTTTTTTTTATGTTTTTTTTTTGGTGCTCCCTGCCATTGTTGTTTACTTGCTGAGAAATCACCGCAGGGCAGCAATAAACGAGACAGAAGCGACAAAAAATATCCAACTCGTCACCTGTCTACTGGCGAGTCCTGGCTGCTGACTCCCGTTGACTCCTGGTTCCTGGCTTTCTGCTCCTTGATCCTGGCGTTTCGTCCTGCCTGTCATCAAAGGCAAACATTTATGCATTTCAAAATGTCAGAGCGTCCAGGGAGAAGGCTCCGCCTGGCGTAGACTTTATGTGCGGGCCGTTCCTCCTCAACTTTAATTGTTTTTGGTTGTATGCGAAAATTTTCATATTGTAATTTCGGCAGACAAAAGTCAAACGCGGTGCTCTGAAAAATGGCAGCTCATAAAAAGTTTTATCGTTTTAAAGTTTTCTCTCTCTCTGAGCAATTACACTGCGAAAGTTAATTAAACACCGCAAGCAAATAGAGGGCAGACGGAAAGGGAGTTAGCTGCTGCGAGTGACTCACTTTTTTAACATAATTTTATTTTATTTGTGCAACGGAGCGTGCCGCGGGGAATATCCTTCGTGCTTCTGATTCCAACTCCGCTGCATGCGTGCAAATGACTCTGAGATACAAATCATTATTTTGTGGGAGTCCCCGAGCGAGTTCGTTGTATATATATAAAGCCAGGACACTGTGGGAAGTGAGAGGAAAATTACAGGAAAATCATATTAAATTGGGTTATAAATTAATGTAGTAAGTTTATAATCCAAGCGTAAGGTAAGGGTAACGTACTTTCTATCTGGAAATCCATTTTAAAATCTAAAACAGTGATAAATATCTGGAATATAGTTAAAAGGAAATAATCACATAATTTGCTTTATAAAAACACTATGCAATTTATGAATTATTAAAAAAAAAAATAATTTAATTTATATTTCTTTAAAAAACTATCATTTTATATTATATACTCCTCCATTTTGTATTATTATAATTTATAACCACTGTTCCCAACCATCGCTAAGCATGCATTTGGGCCATAAAAGCTAACCAATATATGTGGAGCAGGAAATTTTGCATAACCAGGCATTTCATAAAAGGCATTATTAACTTGATAACAGCAAATTATATGCCAAAAAACGGCCATCTATTAACAATAATGTTTGCTTGTACACTATATTACACTATATGTTCTCCGTGCCTTCCCCCACTATAAATAAATGGGAAAACCACTGAAGTTGGCACTTGCTTTGGTCCTGGGCCCTGGCTATGGTCATGAGGTAACCACAGATCCACACAGATGTGGTGGGTGGATGGTATTTCCCAGGAACTTGGCTCCGCTACCGGCTGAAGGTGGACAAAGCAAAAGCTTGTACGATTTAATCTAATCTGCGTCCGATGAAATAAATTCATCCCATTTGCGGCCCCATTTTGCTGTTATTGTTCTTGTTCGGGGCTTCGGTTCTTGGACCTTCCTCTGTGCGGCATGTTTGCGCCGGTTTCTGTTTAACTTTTACCACTAATTAAGTGCTTACACGAAAGATTTCAAAGCAAAAAGGGACACACAACAATGGCCAAAACACACACACACACAATGTAAAGGGAGGGAAAAATTGAAAACGAAGGCGGAAACAGCAGGCAAGTCCAAGTTTTTTAGGGGCTCTCTCTCATTTTCTGGGAAAAAAAAGTGTTGGCATTTAATTATAAATTTACACGTTCAGTCACCGAAAAAGAGCAAGTCATGTTAAAAAGGGTAAACACAAAACACACAAACACACAGGATATAGGATATATACAGGATATAGTACAGGGCGAAGAAACAAATTGCTGGGTTAACAAGTGCATTGCTAAAGGAATACTCTTTGAAAAAGCAAAGAATACATGAAATAGATTAAAGAAAATTCGAGGGATTTATATTTGTGCAATTTTTTTCTTTTTAAATTGATTAAAATTCAAAAACAGTCATTTTTATTACTTAATTAGAAGTTAGTTCAAACTCAAAAAGAGACCCCTTTATTATTTACTTGACTTACAGTTTGATTTTTATAGTTTCCGGTATAAGTAAATATAGTTTTCTGGTTTAAATTTAATGAATGAATAAATTGAATTTAGGTAAACTAAAATTTTATTCAAATAATTAACTTGGTTTTCAATGGGATTTTTCTATAGTTCTAGCTATAAATAAATATATTTTCCTGTTAAAATGTTCAAATTAAAATTAAAATCAATTTTAAAATCCTTACTATCTATAGAGTATATGAGAGGTAGCTATCCCTTAGACCAAAGAAGTCTCTTTATGTTCTGTTCTATGTTACCCTCTGTTTACCTATTTGGTATATGTATGTATATGGCTGGGTCAGCCAGCTTTCATGTATGGGCAAATACATAAATACACATATTTACGTACTTATATTGCCACTTGTTTGCATTTAAGTCCCAGACCCGTTCGTCCTTCCGTCCGTCCGTCCGTCTGTCCATCCGTCTATATTTGCCAGCTTGCGGGCGTGTTAGGCGACGCACCTTGGCAAATAAATTTGTTAAAGTGAAACGGCCCAGACCCGGACACGGAGAATTAAATATGTTTTTGCCAAATAGAGTAAAGGGGTGTTGAGCACCCTTACTAAGTGGGCAGGTCAATTTGTTGCCATCTAATATGCACTTAAATAAAACATTTTGTGTACCATATACATTTTGCTGTAAGTAGGGTATTTTTAACCATGATAACCATTTTAAAATTAATTAATATAAGTAGGGGTGCACGTATGCTTCGTTATTTTACCAAAAATATGTTTATAAATAGTTAAGAAGGGAAAGAGTTCAATGAACTACATTTCATTTGACATTTTTGCTAGTTGAAACCATCATTTAAGAAAAGGTCACATACATTTAACACCCACCACCATATGGGGATTCACACAAGTAGCAGAATATGCGAGGTCAAACTAATTATGGTTAAAAATTAAGTCCAAGCTCGTTGTTAAATGAAAATTGAACACAAATTGGATTATGAGACACAGACTCTTGTTGACATTTTTGCGTTTAACAATGGCTATCATTACGTGGCTGCGAGGATGTTGTTTTCGAACTCATTTCCTCTTTATTATTACAGCTCTCGTCATTACGCTGCTGCTGCTGCTGGGAAGGTTAAATTTTTAAATGATATTATTTCCGACGGAAATTGAAATACGAGGACCTTATGTGGAAAGCTTTAATGTCTGATGGCTATCGTGCTTTATGTAGTCAGTCACTCACTTTCTGAGGCGATTGACTGAGCGAACTTTGTTCGATATCTGGCACTGAGAAGAGAAAAATCATGGCTGCACTGCACCCAGCTGCAGGACTCCAAAGCTGCAGCGCTACATTATGACAGCCAAAGAGACTACGGTGATAAATGACGCATCCTTTCGGGACACAAAAGGCGAGCGAAAGGGAAACAAATGTGCGGCGAGTTGCGGATAAGTCGACATCGACGATGATGTTGATGACGCGCACATTGTCGCCTCCAAGCGAACGAATGAAGATTTATGGGGGCATTAGACATATGCACAACTCTGGGCGACGAGAGTATCCCGGCAGCCAGTGCTAGCCAATGATGCAGTTTTCCACCACTATTTTCCCTGGCATAATTGCAGTCATTATCGGTTTTTCTTTTGGGGAATATTTCTCATGCACACTGGAAAATATTAATGAGGAAAAAGAAAAATACAAAATACGGATACCAGTCTGAGGATAATATATAAGAGTTTTATTATCTTTATATTTAAAAAGTATGGGTATATTTGACAATTTATAAATAAATTTCTTCAAGTGCGATACACAGATATTGCTTTTTATATATCTTATATCTATTCTGGTACTTTTCGATAATAATTATGTTTAATAATTTCGGAATTTTTATCCTAAACATGTTCCCAGATCATGTTTGTTTTGTAATTTTTGTCATGAAATTATAATTTAAAGTTACTAAAAATAAATATAATACTATAATTTAATTTTCTTATATTAAAGCAGATAAAGAAAATTTATTTCGAATTTCGATTGCTTATTGTGTGAATCCAAAGAGTTGAGTTGTCTTTTGACATTTCCAACAAAGCTTTTATTAAAATAATGCCAACAATGGCCCAGGGCCACCCCATTGGGAAACAGAGAAATACAAAGCATAATTGAGTTTTTCTGTTGAGCATTTTTTAATTTCAACTGTGTTGCCCACATCAACAATACAGCGGACCAGCAGGTGGGCTCTTTCGGCCAGCCCTTTGTGCCTGCTTTGGGCCCTAATGGAGCTGTCTTCGAGGCAGGATCGATGTTTGGCACATGGCCGGGCCATTACCAGGACTCGACCGTGTTGTACACAACCATCATTAGCAGGGGCAAAATGGCATCTGCATAGGCATAGGCACAGGAATCGGCTTCCTTCTCAAAGGTTAAGCTCATTGGCCTGCCATCTGATTTAATAGTACGGCTAATTAATAAAAGTTACGAGAATCATTGTCTGAAAGCTTAATACCGAAACTCCCGGCCAACAATATTGGATTCCTTGGAGGCCTTGCTGGAAATTGCTTCATTATGGGGCTAAACAAGTTTTTAAATTTACTTAAACGCTTAAGTGCCCCGTCTCCACTTGCTCTCTAGGACTGAAGACTGCCGACAGACTTCCCTAAGCTGAAAATGGTGTGTAAAAGTACATGAACTGTGTGCCTGGGCCTTTTCGCTAAAAAGTCACCTTAATCCTTGGCGTAATTCTGAATGAATTTCACGCTGAGTATTGTCTACTATGCTTTTGTAGATTTTCAAGGATGAGATTAAAAAGGGAAGACTTTGGACCATTAAATATTCTTTAGATTTTATAGGTTTTAAACATTTAAGAAAACTGGAAGGAAGAGGAATTTACTCATATTTAGTTTGGTATTTTTTTTTATATTTATGGTAGGTATTTGTTAGATGATTTCGTTATTATACCTGTTCATTATTTCCTCTGAAAACCTTAAGAATGTGTTTAAAATAATACTAATGACTTATTTTCAAGGGTTTTCAAAACTCCCTTATGGGTATTTGTTATTAAATTATTTTTTACTGGTATTTCGATGTTTCTAGTTTGTGTTTTTATGATTTATATTTAAAATCTTTCCATTTCTCTCCATTTATTCCACAATTTTAAAGTGACACTTGGGCTTAAAATCAGTTAAAAAATATCCTTTTTTAAAGCTATTTACCATAAGACTATATTTTTTTTTGTTAGCTGCAATTTCGTTTCGCTTATTGCCATTTTACCGGGGATAAGGTGCCATTATTTCTGTCGTCCAATTTACACTTGCATTTTACACACAGCCAATTTGTTTATATAGCTTGTGACAGGAACGGAACCGGAAAAAAGGCGGGGAAATGGACGCGTAAATATGACGGGCTCGATCGCACAGCAGCCAGCATATAGATAGCACCGAAAGTCGCTTCTCAGCCAGCGACGTTATTAAATAATAAAACACAGAGAAATTTACACTCGATTGCATGCATCATTCGAGGTCGATGTGGCACAAGGCAGTCGGGTGTGTGCCGGGCGTCCATTCATTTCGCTGAATGCAATTTCCACCAAAAGAATGACGATGGCCGAGAAAAAAATAAAAGTGAAATAAAATAGAGAGATTGCGATAATGAAAGGGGCGAACAAAGAAAAAATGGCGGCTAACAAGCAATTGAAAAGGTCTAAAAACAAACGAAAGCTTTTTGCTGCGAAATTAAAGCGCAGAAATGGGGAATCGGCGATTTTATTATTAAAGGGGATTTCACTTTTTGGAAGAGTGAATCGGGGGAAAAAAATTAAATTGTTCTTGAAAAAGTGAAATGATTGCAATTATTTGTAGAGATAATGCAAAAAAAGGGCTGTCAGAACTGTCGTTGTAAATTGAATAAATTACATTGTGAATAATAATTAAATTATTTACAGCCGTTGTTTTGCACTACTGCATATATATATTTTATAAATTAAAATGCTTTTGCTTTCGATATAAATGAAAATGTCACCTACACACATGCTAGTGATACGATTTTAATTATTTATATTTTTTAAAAGACATTCAGGAACGTTTTTTTTTAATTAGGGCTTGAAGAAACCATCCTGAATTTTTTATTGTAGCTGTATATGTGTCATAGGTTTGTTTTTTATTATTTTAAGCAAATCAAAGTCAAAATTTACATCTAGTAAACTCCCCAAAAACAGTCTTTCCAAACAATTGATAAAACAAAACTATAAAAATACTTAAAAACACTTTACATGAGTTTCTTGTAGTAACAAAACATTAGGCTAAAAATACTTAGCAGCTGCAACAACTGCAAATTACCAAAGTTCCCATTTAGTTGCATTCCAGACGCTGCCATGAACACGTCCCCATCGACGATAGCCCTCGGACTAGCTGTCTTATTCCTGCCCCTGGCCCTTGTGCATTCTGATATGGAAACTACCCAGTGGGCCATTCAAATTGAAGTGGATCTGCTGGGGTTGCGAGAGAAGTCCGACAAGTTTGCCTATTGCCGGGCCCTCCGGCAGCAGAGCCCGCAAATTCCGCTAGAGAACACCAAATGCGACTACTATCTGAGGCACGACCCGAAGTTAAAGATGGGCGACATGCTGCTCGCGAGTCGGCCACACTGCAGGCCGGGATGGGAACTCCTCGGAGGCAGGTGCCGCAAGTTGGCGTGAAATCTTTAAGGGCAAAAGTTTGGGCCAAACAACGAAATGAAGAACACAATGCCCTGCTATGGCGTCCTGACAAACTGCAGGCTGTCCGGGATTTCTTGGGTTGACTGCCATAAAAGTGAAGCATCCATCATATGGTCACAAGCTAACCCTAATCAAGGAATTGTTGTTCGTCGTTATACGTCATGTTGGCTTGTCAGGAGTGCCTCGGGCACAAAGAACAACAATGGCCGACGGATAAGGCTGAAAGAAGTAGCGGCGGCCATTTTTGTTTATCAACCTTCCCGTATGGGAGAAATTTTCACAGAAGAAGTCAATCAACTTCCGCTTACCCAGTTGCCTTTTTTTTCCTGTTACTGTGTGTGCCCTTACCCCGATCTTTGTTGTCATAGTCACTAAAAGGCCAAAGCATCGAATGCCGACGAGGATGGCAAGGTGTGAACTCTGAAAGAGGTAAAACTAAGTGACAGGCAGGCGGATAAGCATCAAAAGCTATAGTTTACTTGTTATCCTTGTGTAATTATTAGTCAACCTTAATTAAAGTATATCGTATACATCCGAAACTGAGTTCCCTTCAAAATCTTTTATGTATTTCGGGTAATTGTTGCGACCGGCAAAGACTTCTGGAATTGATTAAACTCTACCTGTGTGCCCTGGCAAACTTTGCCAGCTAGCAAGGACTTTGTGTGAGTTCTGGCCCGGCACTAACGATGCGGAACGGCGAATAGTTACGCAAAATTGCCGACGACTGCGCGTTGTTACGCGCCACGTGCTGCCACAAAGTTGCCGCTGTCGCTGACATTGCCCCACAATCATCAGGATCCCTCCAACAATGCAATGCATTACAGAGGTCCTGCCAGCACATCCTGCACCGCAGGACTGGTGAAAGTTTTTATTGGCCAAATTCCCGGGCTTGCTGCAGTTTTCAGCATTGTCGTTTTCAGTCAGTGAACAAAATTCTTGACCTACCACGTAACTTGACTTGGCTATTAAGAATAGAACTTTACCAATAAATATTTTAGTGATTAAGGTAGTTTTCTTTCTTTTTAAAGGTGAACGGAGAATGGGAAAAAATTTAGTTTTATTCACAAACATAAAAGAAGAAGTTTTCAATGGAATAGTGGAAAAATAGGATTCGCACTTGACCCTTAACCATAACCTTTTATTTATATTTAAAGCGGGAATTAAGAAATTTGTAATCTTAGATGTTGGCTACAAAGCATCCACTGCCAGGTCAGTCAGTCCTTAATTTAAACTTACTGAAAGACTGGTGAAAGTCACTCAAAGTTAGTTACAAAATGGCAGATTATAAGCCAGGTGACGTACCCTTGGTGGAGACCGATGAAAGAAAATTGTTTTGTAAATTTCACTACAAAGGTGTCCTCATTTTGTTGATACCCTTAGTCTTTGCAGGCCTTTTGGCGGGACAACCTGTTTTGGTAAGGTCCCTCAACTATTTATAACTATAGTTTTTTGACAAGATCACCCAAAGGTGTTTCGCTTTATTTACTTAACGATTTGCCTGTATCTGTTTTACATCCTCAATTTGATGGCCAGAGGTGCCGTGGCCTTTATATATATAACATTCATACCCATTGCCGGCATTGCATCCTCGGGTCCTGTAAGTTTGGCATATTATCCGGATTTGCTTTTTCTAGTCTACGGCACTATCATGATGGGCGCAGTGATGGACTCCTCGAGGCTCAGCGAATATCTTGGCTTCAGCATCATCAGTATCGTTGGCGGTAGTTATATTAAGTAAGAATTCTGAATGATAAAATGTACTTCCATTATTCAATATATGGCTTATCCGACAGGCTTCAGTTTGTTCTAGCCTTTGTGGTTTTTATAATCTCCTTTTTGGTGGATCCCACGGTAGGTGCCGCCTTTGGAATGAAGCTGGCTCAGGCCGTCGTCAACGAGTACGACGCTGTGAGTAAAAAGCAAAAGTGTTAGAATGTTATACCAGCTTTTGCTATTCTAAAGTCGAACTATAGCTAGCTCCTTTATTTCGTAGGCTAACATTATTAGAAAAGATTCCGAGGAAGAGCGCTACGAGGTAGGAGCGTAAGTATTAAAAATAAAGTCTAAGGATATGAGATATATATAAAGCTTGCCACATAGAGTACCATACCCAACGCGTCCTGCAATCGGCATTTACCTAACCTGTTGCTATATCTCCTCCTTGGCTGGCAGTGTGTCCCCCTTCGTGAATCCCAATGGCATAATTACGGAGTATAAGTAACTGTTTAAAATATTTATACTATAGGCACAAAAGTAACCTCTTATCTCCCGATCAGTATCAAAATACAGCACATCATCTTGATCATGGTGATGCCGTGTATTTTGGGTATCTGTATCGTGATCCTCTGGCTCCAAGCCATGTTCATGGGTCGGTTCGGGGGCAGAGTCAGGCGCGACACGGCGGAACTGGCTGTCAACCTACCCGGCTTCCAGGAGGCTGCCGCTAATAGGAGAAACGCTTTGGGCCCCTGGAATGCTTATGCCATAATTGTCCTCATACTGATACTCATATTATTTGTCCTTTTGCACACCCGAAAGCCTCAGCTGTACATTGCCTGGGAGAATATAGGGAATGGACTTGAGTTGGGTCCCGCAGTTCCAGCAGTCTGCATCGGCGTCATATTCTTTGCGATTCCGGCAAACTATTTATTCTGCCGTTACTACGTCTGTCGGGAGCCCGAAAAGCCGGGCACTACTCCGTCTCTGCTCAACTGGAAGGCGTTGAACAACAATATTCCGTGGGCCGATATCTTCATGCTGGGAGCAGCCATCAGTTGTGTCTTCTGTGCCGAACAGAGTAATTTCTATGGAAAAGTGGCAGACGCCATGACGGGACATGAGCGATTAGATGTCGTCCAGTTTCTCTGTGGCGCTGGCATGGGCACCCTGTTCTCGGCCCTATCTCCGTCCACAGCGCTGGCCAAGATAGCTCTACCTGTGCTGAACATGGCAGTGTGTATTTCAGTTTACATAATTATTGAAATTTTTTTATGTTTATAAATAATTTAACTACCTTCCAGGGCTTCAGCTTTGCCCTACCCTTTACCACGGCTCTGCACAATGAAGTTCTTCTGCCCATCAGTTCGCCGGCCAACATGATCGTCGCCGGCTGGGGCAACATCAGACCTTTCCAGTTTGTAAGTATATTAGATTAACATATATATTTTTATATATATTTTATTTATATTTTTACTACTTACTATATTTAGTTAATAGCTGGCATAATTCCGTCGTTTCTTATTATGCTCTTAACTGCCGCCTCCACAATGATTTGCTATGATATGGTGGTGCCTAAACCTTAGATTCTTAATTATATAATTTTAGATGTTGGTTATAATAAAATTACTTAGTCTGCTCGCAAAAATATAAATGTTTTTATTTATAAATAAGGTTAATTTTACTTTAAATGCATATATTAATAAATAAGCAATATTTATATCTCTAGTTTGGTCAAATCAAAAATAGTTTTTGTGTTTTATTTGATCTAGAGTCCATGAGAAATATATTTAATAGTCCTTTCCGTATTGACATTTATGAACAAAATAAATACAAAGCATCAACAAGACATAAATCACTAAACTGCTTGAGGGTGCGGACTAGAGTATTGATTTTATTTGGCAAATAAATTGTCAATGCCTTTTTAAGGCGTTGCCTGAAGTCACTATAGTCCTTCAAGAACGCCTGCCTCATAGCGAGACTATTTTAATAGACTCTTAAAGCTGACTAAACAAGGAAATATTATTTAAAATAACAATTTTGGTATATTAAAAACTGAGCAGTCGTTCCAAGTTAATCATTTAATCAAAATAAATACAACAAAAGGCTTAAACTCATCATGGGAGAGCGGTATGTAAATGAAAATGAAATATATTAAAAGGTCCTTAAGCTAAGATGTTCTTGCCGCAAGTGTGGAAGATTACAAGCCCGGTGATGTACCATTGGAGGAGACCGAGGATCGCCGATTGTTCTGTAAATTCCACTACAAAGGAGTCCTCACTCTTCTCTTACCCATAGCATTGGCTCCCATTTTGCTTGGACAGCCAGTGATGGTAGGTCAAAACGTTTCTCTATGTATATTTACCATTATATTAATAGTGATCCTGCAGGCTTGTCGTTTTATATACATGACAGTATGCTTGTATTTATTTTTTATCCTTAATCTAATGTCCAGAGGCGCTGTTGCCTTTGCCTACGTTGTACTTGCACCCATAGCGGGCATTACGGACTCGGCTAAAGTATGCACCGCCTACTATACGGATCTGATCCTCCTGATTTATGGCTGCTCCTTCATGGCCATCATGGTGCAAGTCTCGAGGCTTCACGAGCACCTGGCCTTCATTGTCATCCGCTTTGTCGGCAGCAACATAAAAACGTAAGAGCACGAGAAGAGGGGTTATTTTAAGTGAACATTTAATCGATGAGTTATACCGCAGACTTCAGCTATTTTTAGTCGCCGTAGTTTTTTTCCTTGCCTTCTTCGCAAACCCCACGGCATCTGCCGCTTTTGGGATTAAAGTGGCCCAAGCCGTGATGGTGGAATATTCAAATGTAAGTAATAGAGCTGGAAAAAAGGTCACTGGAAGATCAGTGTTTTAAATATAGAATTACTTATCGACTTTAAAAAAGAAACAAAATAATTTCTTATATATTTAACGTTAAATGCGCTACTTTTTATACCCTTGCAGGGTATTATAGTTTCAGTCAGAAGTTTGCAACGCAGTGAAGGAGACGTTTCCGACCCTATAAAGTATATATATTCTTGATCAGCATCAACAGGGGAACTTTCTAGATATGTCAAGAAGAAATCGATTTTTTGGTCATTTTTGCAAAATTTTATAAGGGGTTACATCATTAAAATTTTTGATTTTCATAAAAAATTGAATTTTCAAAATTTTTAAATGAAGTATGCAGAATATTAACTGTAGAAAATCTTGCACAGAACAGTTTTCCGATTTAAAATTAATGCTCTTTTGGCCGAGTTATGATATTTTTAATTAAAAAAAAAAACAAAAAGTTTTTTAATATAAAAAATCAGATTTTAAAATACAAAATAATATTTTTCTAAGTAAAGGAATCATTTTCGACCCCATAAACCATATATATTCTTGATCAGCATTAACATGCGAATCTTTCTAGACATGTCCGGAAGAAATCGATTTTTTGGCCATTTTTGCGAAATTTTATAAGGGGTTACATCATTAAAATTAGCAAAAATGGCCAAAAATTTTGATTTCTTAAAATTTTAAATTTGGTATGCAGTTTTTTTAAATTAATAAAAACTAACACAAAACTGCTTTCCGAATCGAAATTAATGCATTTTTGGCTTAGTTATGATATATTTGAATTGTTACCTGCAAGGGTATACAAACTTTGGCTGGCCAAAGTTAGCTTTCTTTCTTGTTAATATTAAACTTTCACATATCAAACCTATGATACCGATTATTTATATATATATTCTTTGCAGAGCGGCATTTTGAAGATGTACTCTGAAGAAAAGCGCTTCGAGCCAGGAAGGTAAGTTCTAGATAACAAAATTGTTCAACAAAATATTTAACCTTCAAGTATATAAAATATAAAAGTGCAGAGTATCCAACGTTTCCCGTGATCGGAATCTACTTGAGCCTCTGCTATACCGCCACCCTGGCTGGAGCAGTGTCTCCCTTCGTCAATCCCAATGGCTCTCTTGTTGACGCTTTCGCTGAGTAATTATGAACATTTAATTTCAGCCACTTCAGATAATTGAAAAGGTATCCTTGCGTATCCTCCCCAGGAAGCTAAAAATTGAACACGTCATGTTGATCATGGCAGGGCCGGTGTTTCTGTGTCTTTGTGTCACAATTCTTTGGATTCAAATCGTGTTCCTCGGCCTTCTAGGAGGCAGTGTTAAGCGCCAGCTAAATGAATTGGCTGCCAACCAGAATGGTTTCGAACAGGCCATTAAGGACAGGAAAGAGGCCCTGGGCCCCTGGAATATCTATTGCAAATTGTCTCTCGCCATGATCCTGCTTACATTCATAGTAATGCACACTAGAAAGCCACGTATCTACCCTGGTTGGGATGATATATCGCCGGATATCTGGAGCGGTCTCTCGGTCCAGTCACTGGGCCTCATTATCTTTTTCACTGCAATCCCGGCAAACTATATGTTCTGCAGATATTACGCCTGCCGACAGCCGGAAAGCCCGGGAACGGCTCCGTCACTCCTTCCCTGGAAGGCCATCAACAAGTTCACCCCGTGGGGTGATATCCTACTGCTAGGAGCCTCCGTCTGCTGTGTCTTCTGTGCCAAAGAGAGTGGCTTATATAAGGCTATTGCCGACGCCATATCCGAGCCCAAGCCGGGCGGCTTCCTCCAGTTTCTGTATGGCGCCTGCTATGGAACCCTGTTCACGATTCTCTCTCCGGCGACCACTTTGTGTAAGATAGCCCTTCCTGTGATGACCAGTGCTGTGAGTTATTATTTTTAGGACATTTTGTAATTTTAGTTAATTTTCTGTATTTTCCCTGCAGGGTAACAACTTTGCCCTGCCCTTTGCCACCGCACTGCACAACCAGTTTCTGCTGCCCACCAGTGCACCGGCCAACACGATCGTCGCCGGCTTTGGGAATGTCAGGCCCTTTCTGTTTGTAAGTTTAAAGTATTAAAAGTATTATATATATATTTTCAATAATTATATACATTTAATTTTAGTTATTAGCTGGCATAGTTCCCACGATATTCATGATGATTATGATAACCGCCTTCACCTGGATTTTCTTTGATTCGGCGCTGCCACAAAATGATTGAGAAAAGCTCATTTGGATTCATTCCATCTTGTCTTTTAAATATCATTTCTAAATATCTTCATAAATTTAAATATCAGTGAGCTTCATCAAAAATTTATAATAATTAGTAAAATTTGCTAAGTCTAAAATGTAAATTGTATTTTTAAAGTAAAACTGTCATATTTTATCATTGAAAATTCTACAAGCTTGTTTGTGGTAGAAAGGCTTCAACTTTTGAAGTCCTCGTGTCAGCCAACTACCGGAAGTTCCGGTCTAGCCTTAATTGCCATCAATTACGACGGATAAGAAGGGTGGTTTTTGCTGTGTTGCCTTCATAAGACATACATTTTTACCTGTATAATAAAAATAAGACAAGTTTTCCATAAAAAAAGGGCTTTATCTTATAAATTTATATATTTTTGCAAATAATTATGCCAAAATAATACAATCCCCATCTAAAAAATAAAATATATTATTATACTTCATTTTTTTTTTATCTTCCATTTTAGTCATTTATATTGAGTGTAATATTAACTAAAAAAAAACAATAAAACTTCGCTGTATTAAAGCCTGCAACGCCTTTTTATTTTCAAGGGCCAACGCTTTTAGGCAAATTACACAGTTTCCCATTTAGGGTAATCCCCGCCAGGCCATTCGCACCTAATTCACGTTGCTCTAATCCAAACATTGCCCACACAAGTGTCGGCACTAAATTATTCATTTGTTAATTTAGACGTGGACGTGGACCATAGGGCAGGTGTACTATATATGTATATCTCTCGCTGGCAAACTCTTTCCGGTTGAATACTTTGTGGCCATGCCCAGGGACAGCCACAGGACCTGTGCTGCCGAAGGACAACGTGACGCTACTGGGCCCGGGAGGCATTTATATTCAAACTATTGAATTATTAAACGCGACGCGCACAGTTCGTGAATATTCATAACACTCACGACATTTCAAAAATGGCGCATTTAATTGATTTGGCCAAGGTTACCGACCGAGGTTTGGAAATTATTGAAATTGCTGAGAACATTAAACGTTGTTTGGGGAAATTTATATAATTTATAATATACAAATATATAAGTTAAATAATAAAAAGAAAATATATCGAAATGATCAACTTTTTGAACCTCTTCTTAGGGAATTTACTCACCTCAATTTAATCCTCATACATTTCCCTATAGCTCCTCAATTTGTTGTGAAAATCCCAGCGGCTTTTCTACTTCATAGTCATACTGTCAATCGCTGCTGACTTTCCGTTTTAAAGGCATTTTGCTTTGCCAAAAAAAGGAAAGCGGGCAAATTATGTATATATATTCAAATATCATGCACGCCTTAAGCTGATTTTCCACACTGGCAAACGCAAGCTCCTCCGGGTTTTCCTCATTCACAAATCCGGGCTCATTATCCTTTTTGACATCTGCCCAGGTTTCGCGAACAAATTGACAACACAAAAAAGAAAAATATGATTCAAGATTTTACCTAGAGAGTGAAGTCATCATATTTGTGGCTTTAAATTACTTGTGATTTTATCAAGCCAAGGCTCTAAAGAATTTATTAACTTATAGAGCGAGCATAGATTATACCAATTAATGTTTTTCTGTACCATTTAAAGCCGTAAAATGTCACATTTTAAAATTTGAGATAATGCTCAATGACCGGTAATCCAATTTACCTTATTTTATGGAAACCTTTTCTCCGGATATCTATCCAGCTGAGAGCTGTCAGTTGCCGTCGCATCTGTGTCAGACTCGGGAATGCTGACAGGAATCGAAAGAGAACTAAAAAGCAGGACATTTTTACTATTGTCTTGAAACAAAAAGCCGCAATGCAAATTGCGATGGCAAGCAGACAGGAGTTTGAGAGGAGCAGCAGCAGAAAAAATGTGTGCCAGTCAGTGTCAGATTATTCACCTACGGTGCCACTATATATCCATTCATTAAAACTCTCCGAGCATACTCCTTTTCTGTATAAGAAATGCCTTAAGAGTATACTTGATATACTTGTTTTTTTTTCTATTTTTATTTTCTTCGGTTTCTATACTTCATTGTTTGCGTTATGGACAGGCCCCGAAGGTTTTAAGATAACTCGAAACAGGAAGCTCAAATCGTCCATTGTCGTTGTTGTTGACATGTGAAAAGTATGAAATAGAAAAGGCGAAGAGCTTAATGGAAAAGTGGCGGTGGTTTTCATCTATAGTTTCAGGTGATGTAAAAAAGAGTTCAGAAAAAAATTTAAATAAAAAATTTATTTTCAGAAACATTGGTTAATCAAGGATAATTACATGATCCCTTTTATTCTATAAATCTTTGTCTTTAAAAAAAAAACACTCGAAACAGCAATTCATTAAATCCTTCAAAATGTTAATTATTAATTGAATTCATAACAATATCCTGCAGGATGGCACAATGAAAACAATAATGATTATCTCGAATGCCTGACATTTGTCACAGATAAAGAGACAGGACAATAAAAGCATTTTTTAAATTTTATGCAAATAGCTCGATGAGCTCACACCAGGAATCAAATAAATATACACACAATGAAGGCGGAAACTAATGAAATTAAAACGATTTTATCGAAACACAAAATAAACAACTGCCATTGATGGCGTCGCGCATGTGCACACAGCCATAATCATGATGGCAAATTATATTGAATTTATGTTTGTGGCGATAACAACATCATTTTTGGCAAAATCGCTTTACTGTTTTCATTTTTTATTATTATTTTTATTTTGCTTTTTAATTTAACCGAATGAAAAAGAGATGTTAAATTAGCGCACAAAGCACACAGTGGCAAAAAGGGAAAAATCATTTGCCGCCGGAAATCGGAAATCGCGCAGCCATGACGCCATTTTTCAAAATGTTACAAAATGTCCGTTTTATAGTCGTCCTTCTGAGTGTCCGTCTGTGTGACTGTCTGCCTCGTACTCTCTGCCTAGTGATTAGCTGTCACGAAGCTGCGGCGCAAGGCAAAAATGAATTATTATCGCGTTGCGTACCAAATATTGACATAGATTTAAATTATTTGTAACAAAATCAACGAACTGTGTCCTCCGCTCCTTCCTTTTCTTCCTTCACTTTCTTCCTCTTTTTCTCCCTTTTTGCCACCCGCCAGCATCTGCCCAATTTATCCTTCAGCTTGCTCACGCCCCAAGGTCCTGTTTCTGATTTGATTGCCCAGCAAAATGTTTTGGCAAACACCACAGAAACCACCATTTGGTATGCTCTTTTAGGGAAGCTTTATTTTCCATATTGAAATGGCAGGTTTGGTTTCTAAGGACCCAAGGGTACAAGGGATATTTTTAAAATATGAAAATATAGCTTAAAATAATTAATATAGCTTTTAAAAATATTAAAATATGGAAATATGGAAAACTTAAATAATAATAAATTATTTATGTATTTCTAATTTAGACTTTCCATCCCTAAAAAATGGTCATTTCCTTACAAAATTATCCATTCAAGCAGCCATTAAATGTTTTTCAAAAGTCCTAAATTCTTTATGGGCAATATCACTCATTAATTTCTTTTATTAAATTACATTTTGTCATCGTTAGTGAGGAGAATAATATTTGCCATAAAATCTAGATGCCTCTCTCGTTTAGTTTAAAATTGCCTTGGAAAATGTTCGTCACGTAGTTCCCAGAAACAAGAAGAGGACAACTAATAGGCTCAATTAATAAACTTTCCGGAGGCAAAGGGAACTCGTGATGGGCTGGTTACCAACTTTTCCTCCGGCTCATTTATTCCGAAGGCCTCTAGTAGTGGTAACAAAATTGTAGAAAATCCAAGTCCTGTGGCAAGGCCAATGCCTTTGTCATTATTTTCACTGCCGTCTCAACAGGACAATATATAATTAAGGCCTCGGGATACACTTTCACTATGCTTGGTTGGTTGGATAGATTGGAAATAATAAATATTTCTGGGTCAAATTTAAGGGTTATATTCTTGTTTACTGCCAACAAAGTGTTGTTTGTTTTTTTGTTTATTTGAAAGAGAAACTACCATTGTCCATAAAGAATTATAGTGAGTTTAGTTTTGGTCTGTTTCCATGTCATTGGGCTAGGTTCATGTCTCTGCCAAGGACTTCCGGTAATTTCGGGGGATAAAAGAATGATGCCAGGATGTCAACAACAAGGAGTGTTCTTTCATTTTTCCTTTCATTTTTTTCTCTACTTCCTTTTATCTCGACTTTGTATCCCACCTCCCTTTAGCCGCTCATTACCTTGAGCCTTTCCCAGCTACTATGTTTTCCACTTGTGGCATTAATTTCTGCTGTGTAAGCAGATAAATTGCAAAACGTCAAAAGTTGTTGACAGTCATTGGCATTAAAATGGATTCCAGTCACTTGGCCGGACCCAGGGCCCGGACCCTGACTCGTCGAAGTCAAAGTTGAGGTGTCTATCAGGATGCTGAGTAAATTTAAACACTTAATAAATTGTGGCTTTGACGCAGTCAGATTGTGACTTGAATAAAGTCCTTTGTGCTGTAATTTTCTTAAGGTCTTTGGAGGGTTTATATGCAGATTTTAAGATATATATCTCGACTTAGAATGCTTGTTTCAAGTTACCAGTTCCGCGAACTACTGATGCGTTCAGCTGCATCCTTCGCCTCCGGAACGAAGCTGAGTCCGATTGTCAGCGAAGTAGGAGAGCTGACCCAAGGCCTGCTCTAAGGTAATTAGCTAATGTGCCAGTTGCGGCTACCTTGGGCCATGCCAGCGGCAATTAGAGACAATTAGTTGCGGAATTGATTCATAGGCGGTGGCTCATCACATTATCAGAACACCCCGAAGGCTTAAACCGCAACAATTACGCACATTACAAAGCCCTCGGGGCTGCAAGGGGTTAACCCTTATGATTATTGACTTGTTTACAACAAAAACGGAGTAAAAAGGTATAAGACAAACTTGCTAAATTAGAAAAATTGCATTTAAAAATTTAAAAGGTATTACTTTTTACAAAATTCGTAATGAAAAGTCAACTGTATGTCTAGACAACTGTATGTCTGGCATTGATTTCTTAATTAATTTCTTTAATGTTTGAAAATAACATACAAATAAAATGTAAACTTCTCTGTGACAATAATAACTCCTGAGGTATCTTATATAACAACTTTTCCAATAAAATTAGCTTTATGCAAAACCTATTTCTAACAGCTTTTTTTTAAGTATATATGTCTAGAGGTTTACGCCGATGGTTAAAGACTTCGGCGGCGGCGTAGAGGTCAAAATGACTCGGCGGCGGCGGCGTAGTAGTCAGAAAGAATCGGCGGCGGCGGCGTACAGATTTTTTTCAAATTAAATAAAATTAGTATTATTGTATTATATCAGTTTATAACGCCTTTATTAACAATAACAATAAAATGAACATAAGTGAGTAAATTAATTGGGTAAATGAAATGAAAATAAATAAAAATTAAGTAACAAATAAAAATAAACATAAAAATAGCAGTCTTTTTCCTTGACTTGAATAAGTTTCATTCATAATTCACATAATTAATGTTCAGTTTTCAATTCAGTTCATTTTTATCTCTTCAATTTGTAAATTTAAGTTAAACTTTCTTTGCAAGTGTCGTAATTGTCATGTATAAAAATTACTTTATTTACGTTGTGAGGACTGAGCTGCGACCGTTTCTGCGTAATTGTAAGACCAGCAATAGAAAAAACTCGCTCACTTGGAGTGCTCGTTGCAGGAATACACAACACTTTTTGTGCCAGCATCGAAAGTAAGGGCATTGCAGGTGCCTTTTCCTTCCAAAATGTCAATACGTCTTGACATGAAGATAAGCTTAGGAGTAGATGGCATTCAGCTTCCAAATTGTTATCTTTGGTATTGGTCGAATGCCGTTGAGCAAGCTTTAAGATTTTGCTTGCAGAATGAGACTCTTGCTGCTGATCGCTATCTTGTTCAACATCTCCAATCAGCTCTTTAAACATTTTTAACAAAAAATCGTTTCTTTTTAAACTTTGTTTCTCGCAATACTCCAACACACAATCAAGTGAGTTGAATCGCGGATCTAATAGGGATGCGCAGACTAGTATATCCGATATCGGGAACCTTGAATCAAATCTATTTTTTATATGGCTTTTCATGAGAGTCAAAGCAAGCGGCTCATTGTTCTCAGGTTCTTCCAATATTGAGACGATTTCAGTTCTTATCACTAACGCAAGACTTATTGATGGATACAAATCTCCAGACAAAACGGTAACTGCATCTTTAAATTTTTTTAAGAAGTCGCATAATTTATATAAAAGCTGTGCTTCATTTTCTAATAATATTAAATGAGTCTTATTGCTGCTTGTGAGCAACTTATTTAATGCGGCTCTTTGGCACCCAAGACTGTCTAACATTGTTAACACGCTGTGCCACCTTGTTGGGACCGAGTTCTTAAGTGAAACATTTCTCTTGTCCACCAAACTACTTTGTAAGTCATTAGGGTTGTTAATATTCTTGTAAGTTTGCAAGGGAACATCATCTAACGGGCCAAAATCATCATCGTAGTCGACCCATTCATTATCTTCGGATGCCAGCAGTTCTTCTAAATTGTCGATATTTGACAAAACTTCCTTTTGAAGTTCGTCAGCTTGACATCTCAAAACATGTGTCTTGAATCGTAAGGCACTCACAATATTTTTGCACTTCACAATCAAATTTTTAATTTCCGGCTCTGAATTGTAACCATCAACATTTAGCAAATTATGTAGTCCATGTCCAAGGCAGAAGTGGTTTTTTATACACCCCAAATTAATAGCTTTTTTGATATTGCTGCCTTGGTCGGTTACGACATAATTAGATCCCATTTGCAAATTATACATTTGAGTAACTTCTTCCACCTCTGTTAAAATGTTACTTGCCGTGTGCGATTTTGACAAATATTTTGTTTCCAGCGTTAAATGCTTCATCTCAAAATTCGCTGACAGAAAATGGAAGGTGAACGTTATATAACTTCTTCTTCTATAGTTATCTGTCCACAAGTCGAAAGTTAAGGCAAAATGTTTTTGTCCAGATACTATCCGTGTAACTGCTCGTAAAATGCATTCATACACATCGTCTAGTGCAGTTGTTGACAGCGTTTTGTAGTGTGGAATGTCAGCATCAGTTGCCACAACTCTATATTTTTTAAAAAGTCTTTAAGTCCACTGTGACAAATTATATGAAATGGTAGCAAATCTCTAGCCATCCACAAAGCTAGCTCTCGTCCCAGCGCCCACTTACTATCTTTTGGAGATATAATTGGCGTCGATTTTTTGAAAAAAATTTGATATTGATCCACGTGTAGCCAATGAAGTACTCGGACTGTCGATATCTCGAATGTTGTGTTCATTTTTGAGGTGTCGACTTAAATTCCCTGTGGAACAGTTCGTGGAATACGACTGAATTTTAGCACTGAAACAATTTACAAAATCTTACTTGAATCTTAAAAAAAGGAACTTAATTATTACCATGAAAAGATTGTTCTTTCGTCGTCTTTTTCTGAACATCCAAACATAATCGGCAGAACACCTTGTCCACTTCAATGCAGTTGTTCTCTAATTGCAATGCGCCGAAAAACTCCCACACTTTGCTCTTTCGATTTGAGTAATGGTTGTGTTTAATTGAGTACATACTCAATGGCTGATCCATCTATTTGTTTAGAGAATATTTAATTAATACATATGTTCCTAACACTAGTAATAGTATTTTAAAACTTACTTTGCATATTTACGCACAAAAAACACAGCTTTAGAAAGTAAACCACACCAAATAGCTGTTCTAGAGATGGGACATAGGGAGATGGGAGATGAGACAATCCTAACGATTAATCGATTATTTATATCGAGTATTTGGCCATTTGTATGATTTATTTATTTTTGTTTTTAAGTTATATTAAGAATAATATCACCGAAGGCCGCGCCGGTGCTACGCCGGTGCCGCACCAGCGGCGCGCCGGGCGCGCCGTTTTTTTCATAATTCGGCGGCGGCGCGTCAAATAAGGCAAAAATCGGCGGCGGCGGCGGCGTGGCGCGGCGGCGTATATGTCTATATATGTCATAATAGTCCTGATATTTATATTTTAAAAGAGCCAAGATTGCTTTGGAATTAACTTTGGTTTTGTTAAGCACAGCAAATTTGCTATATTTTAGTTTGAATTTCAAAAACCTTTTGCAATATGTTCACCCTGAGTCGTTGGACCTGGCCGCGTTGGATCCCGACGCTAATGCCATATTTCGTGATGTTGAATTACTTCATGGATCTGCTCTACTCGTTAGTTCACTTTTCCCATTTGGGCAAACAGCGAGCTGTGGTGATGAACGTGACCAATGTATTTGGTTACATCTACACCGTTTTCGACATGTTCCTCATCTTGGTGTCCCTTATCCTCACCCTTGGCACCCGCATTGAGGAGAGTGGCGTGATTCTGCTGCTCATCGGCAGAGTGATCCATCGCCTGCTCCTCTCCATTTGGAGCATGCTCTTGTATTACCTCTTCAGCGAGTGCCAGGACATGGGCTGTCTCCTCATGCTGCTGGCCACCAAGGCCAAGATGCACGCCGAGAAGGGATGCCCCAAGATGGAAGTTAGCAGCTATCATCTTCTGTTGCTGGGAGCCAGACTTTGCCTTTGCTGCATGTTTCTAATTTGGATGGATGAGGATCTGAATGTAAGTCGAGATTTTAAGCGTTATTTATTAGTCTTTATATTTCTTATTACCTCTTATTCAAAGGTTATATTTAATATCCTTTCTCTGCTTTTGTTTATATCAATTGGCTTGGGCTTTTACTGCAAGGTGTGTTCATACCTGACCCTTCTGGTCTTAATGTATCATGACATCTTCAGCAACCATTGGAGCATGCTGTTTGGCTGGAATGATTATTTCCTTTCGATGAATTACTTTGCCATGTTCTTTGGCAAAATTGGAGCATTCCTAATGCTTTCTGAGCTGGGTGCTGGCAAGTGGTCAATGGACAGTTATCTGGGACTTAATGACTATGAAAGGGATCAAAAGGGAGGCTACAAGATCATAAAGGAGCAGGCCACGGCCTAGAAAATGTTTGTTTTAATTTTAAGATAACGATTTCCCAGAAAAAGTAAACGAAAATATGCACTTTCGAAATGCTAATACTTTTTTCTATAAAAATAAATTAAATATAAATATATTAGGATATATCTTCATTACTTTCTTTATATTTATTTTTCGATTAATAACCATTTTCCATTGAAGAAAACCTTTGGGCAATCGAATCGTATTTTTACTTTATTTTTCTTGCCTTCTAAACGTTTGAGGGATTTACATAAACTTTAATGGAAAATACTCGCCCGGCGGCTAATGCTTATTTTTATTTCTATCTCTATTTGTACACCTGCCTCTCGGCTTCGAAGGGGGCACTCCAAATGTTCTTTGATTCGCGCCTCAGTCGACGTAAATTATTTAAAAGTCTCGAGTTGCGCTTAAGCGGCTTTCCCTTCCACCTCACAGTGGGATGAAATGCTCAAATTTAGCACGAAAAAATTGTTGGTTTTTAGGGATTTCAATTTTAAACTTGTAGGGTTCTTTCAGATAAAAATCCTAATAAAAAAGTACACAAACTAGGTTCATTCTTTGTCTTAATTTATTTAAATTTTATATTTTCATTTTATGCCGTACTCCCTTTCCCTAATCCATTCCTACTTCCACTGTATTTTCGTACTTCTTTCTCTGGCAAGGAAATTGAAACTAGCGCTGGGAAGTAATGCCATAAAATTCTTAAATGCGAAAAAAGAAAAGCGTGCAGAAAAAACAGGTGAAAGCTAAAACGGCAGTGGGCACAGCGAACACAGAATACTCTGTCCGAAAAAGGTCGGCTATAGTTCCTCAGCGGATTAAGTCAGCAGCCGAGGTCCTGGGCGGTGGCAACAAAAAAATAAAGAAGGTATTTCCTCCACGTGTCGCTGTCGCAAACGTCTTCACTTAATTATTGCGACTTTCGGCATGGGGCATTGGGGTGCGCCGACTTAAAAGGCAACACTGCCGTTAATGAGTTTCTGGAGGCGGGCCAGTGGACCGGAGGAGCTGCTGCTCCGGCGCGCCGTAAGATACCATCCAGGCGTGCATTTAACAACCGCAAAGGACGCAGTGACCTTCGCTCTTGGCTGCAAATCCATTTGCATAAGCGGTGGCGGGGTGATTTTACCTTCCCTTCCCCGGATGGAGTGTCTCCAGCGATGGCAACGACATGTGGAAGGCGGAGCCAGGGCTCTTCACACCCAGAAAAAAATGTAGTAAAGATTTAAGGTAATCATCTATGATTTCAGAAAATTCCTCAATAAGTTTAATATTATTATTAAACAATAAGAGCTAGTTTTGAGTATTTTTTATGTACCAAACAATTTAGTTTTTGAGTTAATATTTCATTAGGAATTGTAATTGTAATTTTTGTGTACAGTGCATTGTTGACCGTCTCAAACGCCCAGTTGGAGCACGGGATATTTTTACTTTATTTTTGCCTTTCCTTTACTTACCCGCAATGCGTTACTCTTAATTGGAAAGCAGTTGCAATTTCGCTGTCCCGATCCGAACGTTAAATGTAATTGACAGTACGTTAAACAACAACCGGATTCCGGAGAAGAAGGATAATCCGGTAGCTGACAGTTAAAGGGTGTAACCGACTGTTCTCAGAGGATAGATTAAGGTGAATTCTTATGCAGGGATCTCAGTCTCAGAAAGTTTCTTTTAAATCATATTATATTAAAATGAGCTGAAAATATACAGAATATTTTTGGTATTTTATTTGTTCTTAAGTTAAATACAAAGACAAGTCCAACACTGCGTATGAGCCATATATATAACATATATTACTCATACGCAGTGATTGCTTTTTGTATTGATATTTATATTATATAGAAATCTCTCATATTCCTGAAGAATATTTACATTCTTTATGATTTAAAATTTATTTTCATGATTCTAAATAATTTTAAGTGGTATTCCTAGGCCAAGTACCATCTAATTTTCCTCAAAATCTAAGTGCTTCCCTTTTCATACTTATTAATAAATAATAAGGCATAATTGACCAAATTAATTACATTTAAACTGAACTAGACTTAAACAAAAAATAATGGAAGGGTTTAGTATATCAGTCTTAACATCACGCACTCTTGTAATTTTCTAAATGAAACTCATATGTATAAAAAATTAAAAAACCACACACACAAAACAAAGCAGAAGGGCTGCAAAAACGCAAGCTATATTAATAAAATAAAATATTCCAGGGGAAGATGGATAAAAAAGCCATAAACCAACGGAAAATATGCAAAAGGAGAGGGTGCGGTGGTGTGCGTCACGTGGTATTAGAACAACTACCACAACAAAAACGGCGGAAACGGAAACTTGTTTAATTAAAATGCTGCAACAAAATGCTCGAGTGTGTGTACGTGGTGTTGTGCTAGTAAAGTGAACAGTATCCTGTGTCCTGTGTCCTATGACTGTGTCTCGACATTTGCATAAGTAAAGCACACACATACAGGGAAATCTGCGAATGCATTCATTTCTTCCCCTCCACCCTTAAGCTCCTTGCCAAAGAAGAGTCAAAAGCGTTTAAGTTTATTTACCTTTATTTACCTGGCCTGGCTTCAGATTTGGAGCAGCCAGATAAGGCCCGATCTGAGGCTGAATGGCTGCTGCTTAAACAAGACTAGGCTCAAATATGGCTTTCGTCAGGTTAAACGAACTTAACCAAATACATGTGTATAATTAATTTTACCAACCAGACAGAGTCAACGAATGCCTGCAATCGAGGACATTGGGGCAAGCCCAATTTTGCGGTTTTCTAAAGGCTTATGTCTGGAATCCAATATTAACTTTTGACATTAAATTTGCATAGTGTTTTAGGTTTAGAACAGGTATAACTAGGCAATTAATTGGGTTTTATAAATATTAGATTAGTTAAAGGAACATATATTTATATTTTATATTGAAAAGCTAAAATGAAACACACTGATTTGTTTATGGGTAATTAAAATACATAAAATGCATATCACACGTTAAAATGAAATTAAACTAATAGAAAAAGCAAAAAATTTCAATGCAATACTGTTAAGCTTTTGATCATTTGCATTTTATTTTCTGAAAAACCTTAGGTATTTCATGAAAAAGAGCTTGAAGGACTAAACTTTATGCTTTAGGAACAAACTCAGCTCAAGTTAAGTCTCAATAAATTTAAAACAAATGAAAAAGGCTTAGTGGGAATCGAAGCTTAGACAAAGACTTTCCTGACTGCTTCTATACACACGTATGTGTATGCATAATCTCTCAGATTTTAACTTTAACTCGGAGAACTGTAAATTTCACTTCAAGGCCGCTTCACACGTACGAGCCGCAATTCCTAAGGGGGTGCCTGGGAGTTGGGATTGGGACCGAGGTAGGAACCGGGGGACCCGGGGACCATTATCATCTCGGCCTCAGCGACATCGTCGCATTACGTAAAAGCGCTTTTACGACTACATTTGAGCAGCCGCAAAGAGCTCTGAGCGCGTTCGTTCCCCCGAAAAAGTAAAAAGTAGGCACGAATAAATGCGACAGAGGGGCTAACAGGTTGAATGCGACCAGAGATTTGAGCGGGTGCAAATGGCAGAGACAATAAAGCTTAAACAGAGAGAGAGAAAGACGCTCCAATGAGGCATCTGCACGCCTCCCATTTCCCAGGCATTATGCTTTATTTTATTTGGAACCTTATTTTCTCCTATTTTTAAGCATTTTCCAATCAACTCCAGAGCTGGATTACTTCTGTGGCGTGACATTAAATGGCTTTTCAGCTTCATAAAAATTCTACGTTTATTTTTTCTCTTTTTTTTTTGGCATTACAAAGTCATTCCGTTTCGATGTTCGGCAATTCAATAATAATGCCAGTTTTCTGGGTTATTAAAATTTCATACAAGCAAACATATTCATGGTGACTTTGACTTGTGCGCCGGAGTTTTTCTTTCATTTGCTCGCCGCTCCGCACCGCTCCGTTCCGTTCAGCTCCGCGTTTTGTTACGTTTTGTTTGTGTTTTCGTAGGCGCCAAAATGTCAGCGACACGTTTTCCTACAGCGGCAATTTATCATAAATATGCATGCACACATATAGTATGTGTTTACATGCCAGTGATGCTCTTAGCTTTTTGGGGGCTAAGATAAAGCTAAACTTAATTATATAATTAAAAGAGACCTGATTGAAATTAAAAACTACGTTTCGTAGTTTTAAGATTTTCCACGAAATTCAAAAGGATAATACAAATTAGCGTTTTATAACTAACCCATAAAGCTAATTTATAATGGAATATTTTCAGCATATTAAAGAATGCTTAACCTTTTACTAGTTTCAAAATCACTTTAAAATGTTTCTAAAAATATGAACAAATAAATTTCAGCGTTACCAAATACACTGTAAAATTACATATTTATTTATTGCAATATAACATTTTGAAGCAACGTTTTTTGAAGCCTTTTTTCCATGGGATTTCACAAACCTGAGCTTCCCTGGAGCATCCCACAAAGATTGTAAGCCATCATAACCGAGTATTCATATAATATTAATTCAGTTCAGCTTGTTGTTTAAAAAAAGGACAACCTGACAGCACTGCCACATTCATATGTGCGGCAAATAAATCCTGGCTCCTGTTTGGGGGCCGCCGCCTGTGACGACCTTATGGCAAGCGTTCGGGGGCGCGGTTCGCCTTTGTTTATGCCGCTGTCAGCGCTCGTTTAATTCAACATTAGCGCCTTGCAGCGGTCCGAGGTGAGGCTGTTAGCTGTTCGCCACTGTTTTTGCCTCGATTTTCCTCTGATTTCCATGCCATGTTTTCAACACAGCTCGCCACCGTTGCGATGGGAGCCCTTTGTGCGCCCGCGGCCACTTTCACGCGCCCTTCGCCTGTTTAGCGTTTATTTTCTGTGTATTTTTTTTTTTTTTCAAATTGTCAAACTGTCAAATAAATTACACGGCAAACCGTACAAAAGATCTGACGCAGTTGGGCTTCCTTTGTTGGCCTCAACTTTTGTGCGGATGTGGCATGTGCATAGGCTCATGAGCACATAATGTGGCCGGTCTTTGTGGCCGGCTTTGATTGTCTGGGAACGGTGGCAGAGCGC